TGCACAATGTGCTGGAAGTTGGAATACAATCTCTGCTCCTTTTCCTTGCTATGGACCAAATGCCAACAAAGCTTGTATTCCTGAGCCATAAGCCACTGGGACATTGTTCCATCTTTTTCCTCCCATCTCTTCAGTCACTCTGCTTTTCAGAGTTAGCCATACTTTAGTTAGATCTCCTTCAAGGTCCTTTCTCATGCACTTACATTTAAACACACATATGTAATCATGTGCTTTCCCACTATACTAGTGTACATCATTTCATTTTTTCTTTTTGTACACAGGCCAACAACAGTTAACATTTGTACATCTAAACTGTTTATTATTTTTAACTGCTGCATATTATGTCACAATAAGATTGTGCCGATTTAACTTGACAATTAGATCATACAACATGTTTCTCTGTTCAAATAAATACTGTTAAATCTTTTTTAAAAATAGGTATTTATTTCTAAAGGGTAACAACCTAGAAATGAAATTGCTGAGTTTGTGCAAACTAACTTCCTTCAAATTTTTGGTGGAAACTTCCAAATTGTTGTGATCCAAAGGAGACTTTTCCACAGGAAAGTGTTCATCTCCTGTTTCTAGAGAGGGCCAAGTCAATGCCTGGGTGCTCTCTTGATGAGGGCCTCCCACCATCCAGTGGCTTATTGGCTCAGGAACATAAGCTTTGTCAGGACCTAGTTCACAGCATTAAAAAGGAAAGGGAATTTCATTCCATTTTCCAGCCACATAGTCAGCTCTCAATTTCAGTGTAGCCCTGCAGAATTGTTTGCCCAGCAGACAGTGACCATTGTTCACAGTGTCAAAGAGCATCACTGTGGGTCCTCTGGAGTGACACTGCATGAATGCTTTATTAAGCACCTAAAGAGAAGAAGTGAGCAGGACTCAGCAAAGTTCAAGACAGGAGGATAGACGTTTCCTCAGTGCATTCAGAAAACATGGTTTGGTTCATGATGAATGAAAAGTCCTGGTGAACCTGGCTACAAGGCAGAGGGAAAATACAAGCATAATCCTGATCTCTGCCTGGGCATTAAAAATGTGGTTAAAAAAAAAGAGAGAGAGAGAAGGCCTAAATGAGGTACATCAAGAAAATCGGTGGACTGCTGGGATCAAGCCACTGGATGGAAAGGTTGGCTGAGAAAACAGGGAACTCCTAAGTGATGAGAGATGCCGAGCACCCAAGCATAGGAGAGGGCCTAGGTTCTCCTGTTCTTCCTCCCTGCCATCTCACTCTGGTGAAGTAGAGGGACACGTGAGAGACAGAGGAAAGAGGGCAGAGCACTGGGGCTTTGGGGATCTCAGACTGCAGGACCAGGTGAAAGAGGAGGCAGCTGGGCTCCAGGACCTTTCCAATTCCCAGCCAGAGGGACAGGCAGGGGCTGAGTCGACTGCTCTGGTAATAACAGCAATAACAATGATTTTCAGTAGAAGCTGGGATGAGGAATGAAACCCAGAATGCACACCCAAAGCAAGCACTATGTGTATGACAACTACGTAGGCTGCGGCAGTGACGGGTAGACCAGCCAGCAGCTGGCAGAGGAGCCTCTCCTGGCTGGAGCCCATGTGCCTTCAGGAAACGCAGTACGATCCCAGTTCAGTGGGGAGGAAGTGGAAGTCGAAGATAATGAGAGCATGAGGAAGAACTGAGGACCATTTATAGTCCACAACTGAGTAGGGGCCACTTTTGACAGGAGCCCTTGCCCAGGAAAGAGAGGTACTAGGAAGATGGCTGGGGAGGAGCTAAACTGAGGCTTCCAGAAGATTCTGAAAATCCCACCCAATCCTATACCAGCCATGCAGAACCCTATTGTGGAAGACCAAATTTCACAGTCCCACTGGGCAGAAGAGGCTAACCAGAGCCTGTGTTAAAAACATTTTTATACATATTTTCTTTGTTTTGTTTTTTAAAGTTATTTAAGGTTGGATGATAAAGCTAGTCCTTATTGCTTCATCATGGCTGAAATAGTTCACTTGGAATTTTAGTTGGAACTGATGGGAAAATTTGACATTTACACAATTGTGTCTTTCTTTTGAGGAACATGGTCTATTGATTTATTTAGGCTTTTTTTCAAATCCTCCAGTGGACATTAGGGTCTTACATGTTCATATTATTGCATTTTAAGGTTCCAATTGGGGTCCTTGACTTCCCTCTGCAGTATCTTACTCTTACTGTGCAGTTCAGGGATAAAGGTTTAAGAATATTCTGGAGCTTCCGTTTCTTAAAGCTGGAACTACTCTCTTCCTCCCACCACTGTGGATCAGAAGTTGAAGGTCTTATCTAGCTGACTTTCTGACGATGGCACAGCAGCCTTGAGCAGCTGTGGACTGGGGTCTGGGGTGTGGATGAGAAGCAGCAGAAGCAATCCTTGTTGTTGAGGACGCTGGCTTGGGGCTACTTCATCGTGGCATGGCCCGCCTGATGCTTTCTCTACTTTTATTATAGTTTGGAATGGACAAACTATGAGAAGTAAAACCTGAAGATTGAGCTACCGATACACTTGTACCTGGTTGTTGGGTTACTCCACCTACCTCATTTATATCATGGGCCTTTTCTTTGACAGATAGGTTACTAATGCACAGGAAAAAAATTAGCTCTAATAATATCTCTGGGTTAAATAGGCATTTGTGGGCTACTTAGGGAATTTGAAGATGTGTGTTCTAAATGTCAAACAACCAATTTAGAAGCAAACTTGGAACATAATTCCTCCCTAAGTTGGGAACTGTTTGTTCTTAGGAAATCCATCTCTTTAAGTAATGACAATAATAAATTGAGGAGACCTCAGCTGACTAAAGTTGACACCAGATGGGTAAACACCCACCCTAAGTACTAAATTAGTTAATTATAGCTGTGCCATGTTTATAGACTTCGATTCATCTCTTGAGAGTATATTACTTCGTCACCTACAATGGCTCAGTGCATTTGAGCAGGACTTTCCAGAGGTCAGGCTCCTCCATTAAGCTCTAAATGCAAGTGTTCGGAATCAAAGGGCTGTTTGGATTTAGCTTATTTTCATTATACCTCTGTGTGGGGATCAACTTGTACAAAACATCTGAGAAATGATGAGGCAAATAAAACAATGACAGGGAGATTTTAAAATATTTTATTCTACTTACATAGCCTCCTCCCTCATATTTAGTCCAATAGTCATATGCATGTAACACCCTCTTCTCTAGAATGTGGGGGTGTTGAGATTTTCTGAAATGGTGAGTTCAGTGCCTCACTTGAACTTTTTTGTTTCACTCTCTGACAGCTTGATTGATAAAACAATGCCATTCTCACAAAATGGCGTGTATTTGGACAGCCTGGAGACCCACCCAAACATGTCCCACACTATTTTGGAGGCAGAGAGCCTGGCTGTCCTGCCATGCTCAGGTTCAGATATAGACCAATAGGCTGCAACCCTGATGTACATGTGTCATCTGCAGAAACACCCCAGATCAAATCAGTCAGAATCTCTGAGCTACGATGCTCTAAGTATTGCTGTTTAATGCCTTCTAGGTCATTCTAGTGTGGCTGTGGACTGAAGTGGATGTGGCCATTGTGCCAATTTCTAACATTCAAAGTATTCATACAGAGTATTCAGTTCATAATTTAAAGCAGTAGCTAACTCTAGTCTTCCCAAGCACAGGAAAACTGCCTATTGGTTAAGCATTTTAGGAAAGGACAACTTTGTGTATCACAGTTTTTGGCTTCTGCTTCCTTGCCACCACACCCTTATTTTAGACCCTGGCCATCTCTATTCCCATTGCCCCCTCCCAACTTTCTACAAGCACTGCTCCCATTCTCTCTCAAACACAAATCTTTCTCCTTTTCATTTATTTATTTTTGAGATACTGGAGATGGAACCCAGGGCCTCCTGCATGCCAGGAGAGCCCTGTGTCACTGAGCTACATTGCCAGCCCAGTTCTTTTTTCTTTTACAACTCCCTTCAGTGGCTCCTTGCTATCTAGGAAAAACAAAACAACAACTCACTGCCCTTCTCTAGGCATCCAGGGCCTTTCGTGACTAGGCTAGAGTGATGACTCAAGCAAGAGGTCCCACGAGGTCCTCCAATGACCATTGTTCTCTTGCTTCTAAGCTTTTGCCTGAATGGTGCACATCTCACCCCATCCTGCCAGCACTCCCCATTCAAGGATGGCCTTTTCAGTAAAACCTCCATATCTTCCAGGCTTCCATTCCTCATTGCCAGCTCCTTACTGCTTCTGTGTGTCAAAGCAATGCCTCTATCAGTCTCCTCTCTGCTTGGCACGTAAAGGGTGCTTAACCAAAAAAAAAAAAAAAAAAAAAATCACCAAATCAGTAAACAAATTTCACTTATTAACACTACCAAAAGTGAGTCTGTCATCTCTATTCAGATCTGACTTTCTCTAAGGGCAGCGCATAACATGGTATATACAAAGGAAAAAGCTTTTGGTAGAAAAACTGCTGTACCAGGTGTAGGATCTTGGGCAGTTTAACTGTTTCCTCCACTGTGAAATGAGGAGGAGGGTGACAACTCCTGGGAAGGAGGATTTGACATGATGTGTGTGGCATCAGATGCAGAGTGGCTAAACAGGTATTTTCTTCCATTGACTTCAATTTCCTTAAATTTATCAGTTATTCTGCAAAATTCTTGAGTAACATCCCACTAAGAAGTTTTTCTTGGATTTCATGTTTGGCCAGAGGGCTCTATTCCACATGTTGTTTGGTAGAAACTGTGAAAAGTCTCCTTGGTTCCCTCCCCTCTAACTTGACAATAAAAATAGCACCTGTCTTGTGGGAATATGAGGATTAAATGAGTTAATACATGCAGTTATAGAACATCCAAACAGAGCCTGGCCATGGAGGTGCCCGGTGACAGCTACCACCATCATCACTAACAGGACTGTGTTGCTTGGAATTTTATCACAAGGGTCCTTTAGATTGTCCTTTAATATGTTCCATCATAGGACAGAAAGACAGAAAGAAAACATGCACTTCTTCATGCTTCTTGCTCGAGAAATTCTAATAAGAAAAGACATTTTAAAGGCAAAAAAGTAACTTTATTGACTACTAATCTTACCATGAAACACCTATAAGAAATAATTACAAAATAATGCAGTTTCTTTACATACTTTTGGTATCATCCTGATATGATGATCCTTTCACAGAAAGGATTATTTACAGTTTATGTAGATATAAAGCTCATTGTTGCAAATACAAATGTAGATGATGTCTAGAGGCAGTATATACCAAACTGGTATATTTACTAGCAATGGATATGTAACAAATGCAGAATAAATAACAGCTTTATACTTTTCCATTTTTATTTTTTAAAACAATTTCCAAATACAAAAATGTAGATTATTCAAGGTGGATTTTCATATACACACACATATATAATTCTGCTGCAAACAGTGGATCGAAAAGCAAAAATGTTCTCTAGCATGTCTCATTTTTGAAAACCCACAAGACTATTCACAAATCCAATTAGAAAGAGGGTGTGCAAAACCACCAACAGTGCTGGCAAAACCCTGAAGGTCTGACTCTAGCTGAAGCAGAGGAAAAAAAGTATAAGGTGCTACTTGTTCAATTAAATACTTAAAAAAAAATATCTGCAAGAAACATTAAGGGCTAAGGAAATGCACCGCATTATGATCTAGGTTCTTCAGAGTACAAACTTGAATAGGATTTGACTTTTAAACATCTACAAGATATGGTGGATTATTTAATGACTTGTAAATAAAAATCATTAAACAATCTCTTCATTCTTTATTCTTTATACAGAGACTGAGATACTTTTATACATTCTGATATCTGAAACTTTGGTTCTTTGAAAGCATTTGATGAAAACAAAATAATCTCATGACCATAGGACTATACGGGACTTTTGTTTTCCTCTTAAAGTGTCAGCTGAAACAAACTGGATGAGCTCTTTTGCTGCTGTGTCCTGCATGAAGGGCAGCATAGGTGGGGCATGTTTGCAGTCACAAGTTTTAATACTGACTCCCATCCACAGTAACACTGCTATATTCTATTGTCCCCCTAAATCTATTTCTTTGTTACCTGAAAACATAATTTTGTACAAAAATATGACTTTCTTTAGAAAATAATATATAGTTTTCTTTTAATAAAACCTGGCAAATAGCAAAAATGGTTTATCAAAATATGGTAAACAAATGTTGTAAAATACTAAATCATTAAAAAACATCCTATAGAAAGACATTGTGCTATGAAGTTCTCTCCTGAAGCACAAGCAACAACATTTTTATTGTACATCAAAAGGTGGATAGGTTTATCCTTCTGACTTGGTTTCATTATATATCATAACAGCAGCACACAGTCACTGTCTTAAAAATGGCCCTTTCTTGTTTACTAACTTCTTCTGTACACCTTTACTTCAAAATTAACAAAAAAACACCCTCCAGATCAGTGGCTTTCAACCCTGTTTCATATTAGCTCCATCTGGAAAACCTAAAGAAAAAGGAAATTCTACCTGGGTCCCACCCATGTGAGACTGATTTAATTGGTCTGGGTTAGGACCCAGACATTGTTAGTTTTTTTTAAAAGTTTCCCAAATTATTCTATTATGCAGTCAGGGTTGAGAATCATGGCCAAAGGCACATGAGGAAAAAGTCTTCTTAACTCTACATATATCATCTGATTGTCTGTAGGTACTATTCATTCAGTGATGTATCCTCAGTACTGAACAAGGAAGTTTATATATGCAAGATAGTTATGGAAGCCAAAATGAAGAGTTAGTAAGCTTTAAACACATATAAACACACATAATCCCATGTATTTATATATGTATAATATATACATATAGTTAGGGTATTTTGGTTAAGCAGAAACTAGCATTACCATCACTTGTTCTTGATAATTGAAAAGTGAAAACAAACAGAACACCACCAGGTATGTTTTCTGAGACATTCCCATTGTTTCAACAGACACCAGCTTTGTAAATGCCACAAAATGTATTATGTTGTGAGCACAACTCATCTGTTAATCCAAGGAGGAACTCAACTGAATCCCAGAGCTTTCTGGAAGAGCACAGAGGAGGACGTGAAACTTATCAGGTGTGAAGGAGTCACAGGCATTGCAGTGTGCACACTCTTCTGGTTATTGCTTAGTTCACGTCTTCTTGACTATCAGTGTGGGTGCCTCTGTTATGGACATATCTTTGGCTTGCTAGAACCATGCGACTGTGACCACTTCATTAGTGTTCACGTTGGGACATCCTCAGTGAGGCAGCAATGGTCTCTCTATTACAAGAAGAGAGAACCCTCCCTCTCCTCCTTTAAACCATGAGCACTTTATGAGGGAGAGGTTTAAAAAAAAAATTTACAAGCAAACATATAAGCCTAACATCTTTCATGTGATAAAAACTGTAATGTTACATTTACTGAAGTAAAAAACAACAGATAAACAAATATACCACAGTCCAACAGTCTGAAGGCCTGGTAACCTGTAAAGCACATTTCCTTCCAAAGGATCAATAAACTTCTGGGCACTTGTCTTGCTGTACATTCTCTGTAGTTCCTTAACCTCTGCATAATACTTAAAGTGCAATTGTCCCAAGGCTTTTGTTTCCATCAAAATATTATAAAGAAAGAGCTATGGTTGGGGTGAAGAAATATGGCACAATATGTAAAGAACCCATGACTTCCACAGCCGCTGGTAAACAGCAGGCTGCCCACCTGGCTGCACACAGGTGTCCTTTACACCACAAACTCTGGAACTTCATCATGAGTAAGATCCAGAGAGAAATATTTGCTGGTTCTCTTGACTGGAAAAGCATCTTGGATGTTGACGCACTGCTGAGCCAAGCAGCTGTTGCAGTAGAGGCCTTCCTCGTCCAGTTCATGACCACACCCAAAGGTGTAGCTCTGAGCAGTGTCCTGACACAGACCCGCAATTCGCAAGAAGTCTTTCTGGTAAAGTCTGATGTCATCAAGGCTCAAGCTATGTCTGTCGGTGGAAGTCTTTGGTTTTCGACATATAGTCTGAAAAATAAGGGAAGGTTGAGATTACTTTAGGAGTCTAGACTAAATGAAAGGTTAGCGTGTTTGCCCTGCAAAGAGAGATGGTGCAAAGACATAAAAAGCTAAATAATCCTTATATGTTAGAAAGTGGTTTCCAATCAGTAGATTTGGGGCCTCTGAGACTCTGTGAGGGAAACATGTTACTACCACCATCACCACTGATACCAACAGTAGCCGACTTTTACTGAGCACTTGCTATGTGTCAGGTCTGACTTAAACACTTAGCATGTATTAAGCCATTTAATTTTCCCAATAGCTATAGAAGACAAATGTTATTATTCTCTCCATTAAAAGATCAACAGATAAATAACCCGCAAAGAAATGCAAACTCAACAGAATCCAACTATCCCCAGCATTTCAGAAATCAAACAATTAGCATAAACTAAGGCTGTAAAGATAACAATACTATTTGCTTTTCTCACCAGGATATGGCAATTCAGTACAACTACACTCTTGTGCTGAGGTCTGTTATCAGTTTAATAGGAAATAGAAAACAAAACAAAATAAAACAAAACAGTTATCAATCAAGAAGCACAATTCAAAGAAGGAGTTTTTAAAAAGCCAAAATTCCTGGGTAGAGTATAGAGTGTTCTTGGTGCTGAAAAGGTTGAGAGGCCAGTACCAAGATTGAGAGGCTATTCCTGAATGCTCAGAAATTGTGTCTTGCCAAATGCTTTACTGCAGGTAGCAGATTTTGGAACTCATTATCCCATAAATACGTTTAAAAATTGTTCAGATAATTATGGGAATGGAAGATACTTAATGGGCTGATTAAGAAAACCATGCATCATATCTTTAACTGTTGTTGCTCCATACTAAAAAGGAAAGCCTTGCTAGAACAAGGTATCACTTTTGCTTGCTGTAAAAGTTGCAGGACATTTTGCTACCAAGCCGTCACATCTGAGTGGTACCACTTGTGCAGGACGATCTCTGTGATGATGCAGTCTTCCCAGGCTCCAACAGGATCTTACACAAAGGATCATTTGGTCATCCCCACAAGCCCTCCAGGCACACACACATGTATCTGTGATGTTCACATGTGTAGGTGTGATATCTGATTCTCAGCTGAGCCTCATGGACAGTTTTCTGTACAAAAGAGTTAACACTGGGTGGTGAAGCTGCAAACCACACAGTCTAACTTGAGTTTGAACTCCAATTAATCATTGCTAGAAGAGGGTAGTAAAAATGACTTGGAATTTTCAGAAAAATATTTAATAAATGTCATTTTTATATTATGGCTACTTTGATGGAAATAAGAGGAAATATGAGAAAAAAAGAAGAAAGGGGTAAGAAGCAGGGGATAAAGAGACTCAAAATGCCAGAGAAAGAAAGAAGGAAGGAAGGAAGAAAAAAAGAAGGAAGAGATAAAGAAAAGAGAAAGTGCACACATACATACATACACAACACAGAGAGCGTAAGAAAGGCATAGGAGGAGGAGCAAGTGCTCAGAGAATAGCAGTATCAGGCAGATTAAATCCAAATGCTGAAACCCTAAGTTTCAGAGTACTTTTATTATATCTTTTTACATTTTAATAGTTTAACAGTGATCACAGGTTGTCAAATGCTCTAGTTCAGTGTACTTTAAAAATTCAATCTTAATGCAATAACTAGAGTGTGGAAACATTTCTGCCACAAAACACCCAACAAAAATATTATTCCCTCAGGTTTTCTGAAATCTACTGCCCACACAGACACATGCACCATGCCTGTGCACATACACACACACAGTTAACCTGAGGCTTGAAGACCATAGACTTCCACCTATAGAGAGTATGCAATTTATGAAAATAAAAACCATCTTAAAAATATGCAATTTATGAAAATAAAACCACCTTAAAAATAAGTGGAACTAACAGGATGAAAATAAATTCAGAATAAAACAAGAACGTATGTATCTGAAAAGAATCATCTCCTTGGGTTAATTTCTTGCTCATTTATGTAAATATAAATAGTTCCTGATTAAAATTTTCTCAAATTCCAGTTGCTAATTTAAAATTTTGAATTCCTTTTATACCTGTGGAAGAGAATCAGTACTCTGGCCACGAAGTTTGACAACTGTTTCTGAAGAGCTGGATGTGGAAGAACCAATTTCTTTCACAATCAACCCTGAGGTAAAATACAGAGAAGAAAACAATGAATATTTCAGATTATTCATAACTCTATTCTGACACATGCTACTACTAGGAAAGAAAAATCCAATAGTAATCATTACTGAGGACCCTCGCTGTGACTCTTTGGTGGCACATATGCTTTTGCAGGAAAAGAGGGTAGCGCATAAAAGTGGGGCTAGAATAGAGAAAGAAGTTTAGAGTTAGAATTTTCTAAAACAAACTTCTAAATAAGCTATTTATGACAACAACAGAAACAGACAAAGATGCAGGTATAAAGTGGTCTCTGTGAAATCTCATGAAGCCTCTCCCTCCTCCACATATCACCAACATTGAGTCTACCCCCTGGGGAAGAGGATGCGGCCTTCTAGGTTTGCTTCCACTTGGAAAAGTGGTCGTTAGGTGTGGGGATTGGTCTTGCAGTCAGACAGGTCTGAGCTGAAACCTGGCCAGATAAATGAAGTATCTGTGTATCCTGGCCAATGACTGAGTCTCCCCATGTCTTAGTCTCCTCTAACAACTTGGGGCTGATAACAGCATCTGTTTACTAGTGTTGGTTTTGATGCCTGACAGTGAATGTGTGACAAGGGTAAGGAGCTCCTCTTGGCTGATGAGGCCACTGTGGCACAAATCTCCTGCTACAGATCCCACCAGGAAGAGACCAAGGTGGGAGGCCACAGTGAGGATTTTGTGCCAGTCTTTGAGATCAACATAGCCCCCAATCACCTCAGTGCTCAGGGAAAATCTGACACATTTTCAGAAGCAGAAACCCAGGGCTGACATTTCCCTTTATGACTGTGGAATGTAAGTAAAGTACCCTGAGGGGGGAAAAAAAAGTTTCAGAAGCTAAAATTACTGACAAGAACTGGAGATGTAAATGAACACCAGTGAGACAGGTAAAGAAAATGAGTAGGTCAAGCCCTAGATCCTCCAACAAGGCAAAATGGCTTAGGAAAAGTACACCCAACCTCACAAAGAAAGAATCTCAAGAAATGGGATTTTTATTCAACCAATGCCAGTAGCCTATAGAAATGGCTCTTTGTATTCTATTCCTTAAGGTTTCAGAAATATCTCAATGATTCAGAGCTCAGCAGATGCCTTGTGCACAGTGAGGATTCAATAATCAATTCAACTGAAACATGAAATGTAAAAACATTCCTGGCAAACATGTGGGCAGTTTAAGAACTCTCAGGTGAGGCTCATGTTCTAAGGGTTGGTACACACTGCTTTTGTAGAGGCTTTCTTGAGAAAGACACTTATCTTGTAAAGAGCCCTAAACCTTTAAACAAATCCTTACAGGAATGTGTTGACTTGGGCTGGCACATGGTATGGTTCCTTGTGAATTTAAATGTATCCTTGGCTATCATGCCTGCAAATACTCTTCTCCAAAGCCCACACTCACCACAAAAAAAAAAAAAAAAAAAAAAAAAGTCAGAATCAAGCCAGATGCTCAAAACTCTGACCTACCATTACACTTCTTAAAAAAGAAGGGCAGAGTTGTATCCTTCATTCCTACTCAACCTTAGCTCAGTGTTTTAAAAATAATGTTTACATGCTCACATTGTAGAGAATTTGGAAAAAAGTCACCCATAATCCTATCATATAGAGAAAAGGTAAATATTTTTATGTATTTTCTTTTTTTATATAAACATTTTTTAAAAATTAGATCATACTTTTATATAATTTGTACTATTTTCCTTACCTATCTTTCTTATGTTATTAAATATTCTTTGAAAATCTCATATGTAAGGCTGGATGACATTCTTAAGAGTATAATTTAACCATTTATTGTTCTTTTCTTTTTTTTTTTTGGTATTACAAGTAACATTTCAACAAACTTTTTTGTGTATAATTTTTTAAAACAGCCATCCTATTTAAATTTTATTTCTACTTAAATTACAAAATTAACAACCTTAAAAAAGTTGAACATAGAAATATACAAAGTACAAGTAGGCTGTCCCTTGTCCCCTGTCCTCCTTCCCACAGGCCCTGCAGTATACACTGTTTTAAATTATTTCATTTCACAAATAAATATATGTAGAGCTACCTATGAACCTATCTTTTGCCTATAATTGTGAGCTTATACTTAACATATATTAGAATGTATTTGTGAAGAGAAAGTTCAATATAGTAAAGCAAATGGGCAAAAGAAGCAAAGTTTAGCATATGAACTAATAAGCACATCTACAGGGACCAGCATCAAATGTCTGTTGGTAAGGGAGAATGGACCTGCAGAGCGTCTGCAGGGCATGGTTTCTCGTAAGTAAATTAAAGGTAATTAAAGGTGCCCTATATTTTTGCACAGCAAGTGCCAGGATGATGGGGCTGTATGCATCAGTCTGTTTCCCTCTGATTTTTGGTGCCTGACACTGATGAGAGGCTCAAGCATTGCCCTGGGGCTGAGGAGCTGACAGGGCAATGACAGGCCACACCCTAGTTTTAACAGGGCTTTAAACTCCATCAAAGCTGGAAGTGGCAGGACAATAATTACTCAGGCCACTTCTACAGTGCTGGCTCCTAAGGCAGATATCCTGAAAGAACAGAGACTAATTCACGACATGTGACAAAAGCAAATAGAAGCAACTGAGGTTTAAAAATGAAAGCCACACTGCTGCCTTTTTAAGATAGTATCTTTCATATGGTAGAAACATACATTTTATATACTATTATGTAATCCTAAAATAGGGTGACAGTGAATGCATGTCTTCTAGAAGAATTTATACCAATATAAAACTTAAGAGTATCTTTTTAGGTCAACCCTGTTTGGTATGTTTTTCCTCCAGACTCCTCTATTTGTATGATACAGTGGGGAACATAAGACAAGGCAAACCTAGAGGCCTGACTTCTGTGTCTAGACATGAAGCACTCGTCTCTCTAAATCTACAGGTTTTCTCACCTGTAAGAATGTAGGAGGCCAGACTGAAAGGTCTCCAGGCCCATTCCAGAGGCATTACATGATTCTCTGACTCTAACTTAAAATAGCAAAATAAAATAAAATAAAGAAAGAAAACCCATTATACAACTACCTTTTGTCTAAATCATGGGATAGAAGAAGCTAATTTCCTCCTTTCTCCCACAGAGGGCACTTGGCCCTGAAGTTGAGGACAGTGACTTAAAGCACCTCTTTTCCAGTCCTGCCTCTGATCTAGAGCTCCCACCTGCCCCTTCTATTTTCTGAGACATATGCTTTTTGGTCTAAAATAATCTACTGCCTCAGGGAAAGAACTGGCCATAAGAGCTCACCAGAGTGTCCATTCAGCTTCCTTGACATGAGCATGTCCTCTGTGATGTAAATGCACATGTCTGGGCTGACTTCCAGAGATTCCTCATTCATCGGCTCCAGGTCCCTGGGGTCATCAACCAACATCTCTATTTCTGACCAGAAGAAAAAGAAGACATTTAATAACATGAAGGGAAATGGTGACCACATTTCGAAGGTAGTCATATAATTATTCATATTTGAAAGTAAATCTGCTAGTGAGACTCTTCAATAGGAAATTCTAGGGTTTCTCAGCCTCAAGAGTCACTTGTTCCCTTTTCCATAAGCCTTCTGTGTTATCTATGTATCCTCTCATGACATGATTTGATTATCAATTATTCTTTAAGAAGGAAAACTACATGACCTTGCTGTGATGACCAAGGGCAAACTGAGGCTGATGGGCCATTTGCTGAATGCCAAAGCAAGGGTTGCTGATACAGGCAGAATGGGCATTCCTGAAGCTCCCCCTCACCCATAGCTGCTGCTCTGAAGGCACTCAGAGACTTGCTTTGAGAGCCACATGAATTCTATAGTAAACATGTTCTGTAGTTTCCCTTAACAGAGTCAACATGTTTTCACCCAACTAGAATGCTATGGTACTCATTTGAGACAGAAAAAATATTTAAAAAGAGGCAACTGATGCTAAGATAGGCTGACATAGGCCATAGATCTCATCTGATTTCCTTAACAGAGACTAAGTTTCTAGCAGCCAGGTGCTGTACTTTGTTTATACTCCCTATAGTTCTGCTTATGTAGGAAGCACTTAAAAAAAAAATACCATACCAATCCAATCAACATCATGGACTCAAATCTTCTTTAGGGGAGGGAACGGAAGTTCAAGATGTTTCTGTCACTATCACTGCATTCCACTCTGCTGTCCTAACCACTGCCTTTAAATATTTAATCTCGGAGTCAGAAATATAGATGCAAGGGCTGTAGGACTAAACTCCACTCTACTTCACTTAAACAGCCAACCATCTGGCTGCAAACAATCTGGACCAGAGGGCTGCATTGTTCACAACCAAACACAAGCAACTCAACCAAGTCACAGGGGAAGACCACATGATACCACTTCTCTATTACCACTACCTAGCTGCTCCTTAGATACCAATTCTACAGAAGCAATAGTTGAAAAAACTACAGGGAAAAAAAGTGATCTGGTGATGACAGTACTATTACCATCATCCTGTGAATCCTCTTCTAGACGGTCTTTGCCACCACTCTCTACCCCTGAGGTGTGGGAGCTGCCGTGGCTTGTCATTGAGCTGCAGGTCTTCAGTTTGCGGTGGATGGCGCTGCTGGAGTAGCTGTCCTCTGGCCCTGTGTCCCTGGGCTTGGTATCTGCCTCAATGCCTGAGGTGTGGGAACTGCTATGGCTGGCGGTGGAATGACGAGACAGGCGCTTGTGCTTCACGCTGCCTGCGCTGCTCCCACTGGCCCGTGACCGTTTCTCCAGCTGATCCATGTCGAGGTCCAGGTTGTCGCTGATGTAAGATTCCCGGTACTGCTTCTTCTCTGTGTGGTGAGAACACAGCTCATCATCATGTCAACTAAGACACAAGGAATGGCTGGCTGGCTTGTGCAAGTCATCAGGCCAAGAACAAGTACAATTTCAAATTCTGAATCTAGTGACTGATAAGTGGTGACAACTGAGAGAGAAGTTTGACTTAGGTGGATGCAGAATGAATGAAAACCAACATAATAGACTTGAGGGAACTATTTAAACCACTCAGCGTTCTGAAGCTTCACACATTAGAGAGAAGTGCTATTCAAAGTGCAGTCATAGAACACTTTTTTCTACAAGTTGTTACTGTACCATAGTGAAATAAATACAATAAATGAGAACATTTAGAAACTTCCAGAGCAATGTGACAGTCACTAATGTGATTTTGTATTTTGCAAAAGTATCAGTCCATAACATATTAGATATTAAAAAAATTTGGTCCTTTTCCACAGATAATTTCAGAAGCACTGCTATAGAAGACAATTTAATTTGTTTGCTTATTCATTTGTTAAATTTGGTCCATTGTTAGGTCTAGCTGCTGTATACAATTTAAGAAAAAACTATTCAGAAAATTTCTCTCAAAGATTCTACAGTTTAGATTTTCATGAATATGAGAGTGCTTTTCTCCATTTAGTGAGGCTTTATTATCTATTTAGAAAACAGTAATCACTACTGGTCTGATGACTTATAAACATGTGGCCTCAGATTGGTAAAACTATGATTTAACATGTCAGTGCTGTTCTTTAATGTAGTCAAACTTAGACATGAGAGACAATGGGGAGCCTCTTTTATTAAAGCATGAAGTTAAAACTGAACTGCAGTTATGCACTGATATAAAAATATTATTTTTCTGTTTCAGGTCAGAAAATGTAAAAAACTGTTTAGCCTCCTTGCTTTCTCAATACTGATGAGAAATAACACATTAGACCACTATTAAAGACAAGAGTGCACTTGGGGAATGTTAAGTTGATGTTGTTTTACAAACTGCTAACTAGAAGGGTAATTGAGGTCTCAGGGGGTTGCTAATGGATTTAATTGTCTTATTTCTTGGTTAAGTGAAAATACTTGCACTCCTCAGGTCTGAATCCAGCTCTGAAGCACAATCACTATAGCCTCCCCAGGGAGGCAACGAGTGGCAGGAGACAGAAGATGCACTTTCCAGAATGCAAAATGCAAAAAATGCTTGGGTAAGGCTATGTAAACATTTCTGGGCTACAGCTCATTCATGTTATTCTAAGGAATCAGGCTGAAACACAAAGGCAAGTATGTGTAGCCACAGAGAAGGCAAGCAGGAACTCAGTAGCAGATCCCTTCCCATCATCACAATGAGATGGACTCTGATGATTCCCGACTTGTGAAGTCAACATGGGCAGAGATGAAGATGCAGGATCAAAGGGGCTTACAAATTTCTCATGTAATTTCTATAAACTGTTGTTTCAAAATAATAGCCATGTGGCCCAGTTATCCAAATAAAAGTTGGAAAGAGAAAAATAAATAAATAAAACACTGCTACAAGATGCTGTATTTCTATAGGTCTAAGACAATTAGAAATTGTGGATCTAATATTTCAAGTTTTCCTGCATCTTTAAAAATAGTTATTTTATCTAGAAAGTCAACAGCCATCTGTTTTCTCTCATATGTGGAAGCTAGATAGAAAAGAAGGAAAACAAAAGGGGGACAGGTTTGGAAATCTCATGAAAATAGAAGAGAGACCAGCAGAGTAAAGGAAGGGGACTAGAGGGAGGGAAGAAGCATGGGAAAGGGGAAGTAATGGGAAATTAAACTGACTAAACTGTGTTAAGTACATACACTAATGTATAGCAACAAAGTCCACTATTACGTATAATTATAATGCGCCAATAAGTGTTTTTTTTTTTTTAAGCCCTTTCACTCCATCTTCCTGATAGGCTCAGAATCAATTACACTTCCTCTACAGTCACTAGTTCACTTATGTGAAAACATAACAGGAGCCTAGTGTAAATCATATTTGCTGTCAACATATTAGTGCAGCCTTGGTGTTCTAAGGGACTAGCTTCTATTCTCTTCCTAGTTTGTGTCATTTAGGCCTTTTGCAAACATTTAAAAAGCTTCACCCAGTTCCAAAATGAGGAAAAGGCTTAAATAATTCTGGAATTTATTCTAAGAAATGCAAAATGCGATCTTTTACTCCCAATAATAATCACTGTTATTAACAGCACACATCATCAATCTGTGTTCTTTTTATTCCCTCTGTTGTAAAAGCTCAGAGACAACAGTTTTTCATGCATAATTTTTGAGCACAGTAGAGTAAATAATACCTCTTAACCTACACTTAATAATATATCCAAGTTACTGAATGAAGTTGGACTTAAACTTTTTTTTTTTTTTTAATGACACAAGGCAATGTTTTTCCTTCTCTTCTAAATGCTATGAAGAAATTCTCATTATCATTTTCTACCATAAAACGGTAAAACAGTGTCACAGATAAGGCGATTCTAAATGAAATTTAATTAAGAAAACTACTTTCTTTCTAATGTCAAGAAAGAGGTGCTTCTTATTAAAATGATAAGCCCTTAGGTGTAGATAAGATAACTGGATTTAGGCCAAAGTTGGCTCAGAGAAAGTTGGCTTGAGACTTCTTTGCATTGAAGGCACCTCTAAGCAGAAAAAATTGAGCACATTTTCTTTGGAAGAAGAAAAAGAAAAGATGTTTTCCCTGAATCTATTACAGTTATCCAAATAAAAGTTCCAACTTACTCCTTTATCATCCTTCAGTCCCCTACATTATGTTGGTTTGTCTGTTTGTCTCCTGCCAAACTCATATTGAAATCCAACTGCTGCTAAAACAGTATTAAAATACGAGACTTTTAAGAGGTGACTAGGCCATGAGGGTTCTGCCCTCATTAATGGATTAATGCCATTCTTAGGGGGGAGAGTTCACTATAAAAGGGGGAACTTGGCCCCCTTTTACTATATCTATTTCCTGTTCCTTGCCCTTTGGATGACAGAGTAGAAGACACCCACCTGGTGTCAATCCTTGATCTTGGACTTCCCAGCCTCCAGAATGGTAGGAAATACATTTTTGTTCTTTACAAAATGCTTCAGTCTGTGACATTTTGTTATCGTAGCATAGAATGAACTAAGACTAGAGCATCATTGATGCTCCCAATTACACTAGGCATGAAGCACTGTAATGGACAAAGCCTTGTCCCTCCAAGAAATCAAAATCCTTTAGAATTTTATCTTAAAAACTACAGAGGAGGGTCATTAATTCTTTTAGGACCTCAAGGGTTCACCATAAGATTATCTACACAAGAATTTACTAAAATGCTACAAGTGAGAGATGATGGAATAAATGAACTTCTCAAGGTGCCATTGTATCCATTTAGGAAAGAGGTAAACTTGGCATATTATAGGATTTGCACCTAATTAAGTCAACGGTTCTCAAAGGCTCCTGCTTTTGCCCTCCACTGAATTCCTCTTAATATTCATGTTAGCACAGGGGAGATGTATCTGTTATACAGGGGGAGAGTTCACTATAAAAGGGGGAACTTGGCCTCCTTTTACTATTTCTATTTCCTGTTCCTTGCCCTTTGGATGATGGAGTAGAAGGCCCCCACCTGGTGCCAATCCCTTGATCTTGGACTTCCCAGCCAGATGAGTCATGGTGGGGAAGAACTGCCAGTCTGGCAGCAGCAAAAGCCAATGCATCTGAAAAGTTATATGAATTCTCTCTTTAGACTGATGCAGTCTAGTGGCAGACAGTGGGAGTGATTCATGTCCTAATTGCTGCTAAATTACCAGGGACTCTCCAAACAAGATCTTATGTGGATTGAGAGTTTTTGAGAGAACTCAAATAAATGCATGAACTTAAGGTTATTTTATTGGTTTTGTTGTCCTGTTTTCGCAGGTAAAAAGGTCTCGGGGTCAAAACTTGATTTAGATAATGGATCTAAGATAAAAATCTGTATACTGAGGTCCATTAACTCTAATAATCAAATTATCATAAGGCCTAATTACTATAAAAATAACTGGAACATGACTTTGAAAAACAAATTGAAAACATTAAAAAATAAGTAAATGTGTAAGATAGCATTTTGGAGAACTAGAAGTTGGGTGAGTTAGATAGAGGAATACCAATGTGCCACAACTCAAGATAAAAGGTTAACCATATTAGAGATTAATATTGTAAAGTTGACTTCTGATTCCCTTCCTCACTTTGACTTTCCCACATTTGCAGGGCCTGGTACTCTGGGGCCCCAAATAGCCTACTGTATTCTAACCGCAGCTTAGTAAAGCCTCCATAGGACTGTCTCACGAAGTCCTCAGATTAAAAGTTCTTTTTCCTTTGTCATTCTTGTTGGGTCAAACTTGGGGGTCTCCCAGCTGTCAATCTGAGAGGCTGGAGACACTTTTATCACTTTAACCTAAGGAATAATCACATTGAGAGGAATTCCAGACTGCCTGTGGATAACAGCACCAAGGTGGGTCAGTGTATACAGAGCTCTGAGCTGCAGATAAAATATAAGCTGCAGATAAACCCTAGCCCTGTGCCTCTCTATGATGGCTCTTTGTGAGGGGTTTTGGGAAGGTGTGGGAAACTTTATTTAAAGAGAATGAAGCTAAAGGATTGGGGTAACTTCAGAGATTTTGAAGAGGTGCTATGGTTGGTGGGCCTCAAGCCCATCCTCTTGCCTTCCAGGACCATGTTGAGATGTAAACAGAACTGCTGCTCTGAATCTTCAGAGTCCCAGTCTCCAAAGCCCAGGCTTCCAGAGCTTAAATTTGGTTCACAGCAGCAGTAGAGTAAGAGCCCAGGGGTAGTAGAGGCAACATTTGCTGCTACAACCCCAAGACCCTGTGATACCTTCATTTTCCTCTAGCTTCCGAATGTGGCGCAGGACAGGCTGTAGGTTCATGTAAAGGCGGTGGCTGTTGCTGAGAAGCTGCAGGAGGTGTCTGGAGCGCATGGGGCACCCTGTGTAGTATATGAGCTTTCTGGCTGAGGGCAAGCCATCTGGCAAAATTTCAAACTTCTTACCCTGTGGAGGAAAAGCATGAATCAAATTAAGGAAGAAAAACGTCTGATTTGATTTGCCAAGGCCTCCTTCATTTTTTATTTAGTAAGAAAGACTACATATTCAGAAGTAGATGTATAAAGCTCCATTCAAAATTCCCTAAGGGATAGATTACTGTTTTCCCTTTCAAAAATGTCACAGGACAGAGGATTATAAAAAATTCAGGGAAGTATCTAGCCAATGTCCTCTAGGAAACAATTTCTACACAGGACAGTTAGGGAATGTGTTTGGTTTCTCTGGTTGGTCAGGCTATTTGTATTATGGATAAGGGAAAGGCCCATCATAAAAGCACCCTGAGATGCAATTCCAACACCCTAACTCAACAAATAAGAGATAAAATTCTAAAGAGATTAAAGCATCCACATATTTAACAAATACTAACAAAACACTGATTGGGCACTGAAAAAAAAAAAAACAATGAATAAGACAAGTCCCTACTCTCAAGAAGCTACAGTCCAATGGGAAAGAACGTAAATAAACACATGAAATAATTATAGTTTATGATAAATTCTGGAAATGCAATAAATCAGTTTTGATAGTGAACAATACAGGACACCTATTTAGGGTTTAAAAAATATAGAAAACTTCTCTAGTTGGATAAAGGAGGCAGCTAGTATTTGGAGGATGGGAAAAGAGAAAGAAGAATAACTATTAGTAGTAACATAAGGAATCTCCAACTTGGGTGACTAAGGCAGGAGGATCTCAAGTTCAAGGCCAGCCTCAGCAATTTAGCAAGGTCCTAAGCAACTTAGGGAAACCCTGTCTCAAAATAAAAGGGCTGGTGATATGACTCAGTGCTAAAAGCACACCTGTGTTCATGCCCCAGTATACCTGTCCCCAAAAACCTGACTGTTTAAGTCTGGATTATTAATATAAAAATTGTATGTTTGTGGGTGAGTCTCAACATTCCTACTGTATTTGGATATTATGAATTCTTTAAACTTTTCTAATAACAAATTAGGCAACAGAGATTTAAAATATTTTGGACAGAATGATTCTCCACTGAAAGGCCAAGACAGAGCAAGGAGATAGTATAGTCTATCTACACACCTCAGAGTTGGAAAGCAACATGGGATTGTGAGGCTCAGATAGAAATGGGCTTTTTTTTTTTTTAAACCCTTTGGGCTTTCTTTTTGTTTTTAGTTATAGATGAACACAATATCTTTATTTTGTTTACTTATTTTTACATGGTGCTGAGGATCAAATCCAGTGCCTCACATATGCGAGGCAAGTGCTCTACCACTGACCTACAACCCCAGCCCAAACCTCTGGGCTTTTTAAAGGACCTACTAGTGGATCCCAATGCTGGGATAGTTTTAACTGACATTTAGTAAGCACTAAGCATCTATTAACTCACTTAATCCTCGCAAAAAGTCTCTGAGGAAGGCTCAATTATCACCATTTTAGAATGAGACCAATGTAGCAGTTAAGTGGCTTTCTCAGGGTCACACAGCCAGGTAGCCAGCAAACTCTTCAGATAAGGCTGATTCACAATAAGATTCAGGAACCATGAGTGCAGGACCCCAAAAATCTCAATTTGACTAGTACATTTTATTATTACTGAATTTGGGCCATGAAACGAATAAGCAGAACTATGATTTGCTCACTTTCAAACAGGTCAGATCCTTTTGCAAAGAACTTGAATAGAGCCAGTAAGGAGGAGGCAGGGCAGGCCTCACTTAATGTATGACTACAGTGAAATCCTGGATTGAATGGTGCCCAAGTAATTAAAGTAATGTGAAATCAGAAGTAGGTCTCTTGACTCACAGGACAGCATGGAGTCAGGTCCACATTCCATGCACAATGCAGCCATTTATTTATATAGGCCATCTTCCTTACAGGGGAGAAGCATAGGTCTTTAAATCCTTATTCTTATATACTTACTTTGTATATTTTCCAATAATTTCTGAACAAAGCAGACTTATGAATTTTAATGATCACCAGGTATACACAATATTAAGTGGAATTCTTTGAACCTTACCAAAAATATGGATATAGATGCCAAAGCAAAGAAACAGCTGGGAAAAATCAAGAATTTGCCATAACAAACGAAAGTGTATCATTCTCAAGATTCTAAAAATAAAAGCATTTTTTTCCATTAAGCATTGTAGATCTTCTTTTATAATGATGAGTTTTAAATAGTCTGATATTAATAGAAACATCTTTTCATATCACTCTTTATTCTTTGTTCAAAAGAAGTAACCTCCAAAAGCACCAGCCCGTCTCCATACCAAGATACTTCACCCTGTGATTATGGCTTTCTGTTTCCAGCCCTCTGCTATAGGTTTTCCTATGGTAGTCCCATCTAATGAATTTGACTCATGCTTTTCCTACCCTATTTCTTCTGCGACTAAAATAACTTAGGGTACTATGGTAGGAACACATAAATTAAAATCAGTAAATTCTTTTGTTATAAGATTATCTGACTTTAAGTTCACTACTCTTATGACTGACAGGGATTATAAGGATGTAAGAAAGCAAATTATTTCCAGCTTCAATTTTTTAAAAACAACAACTTTTGTGCCTGAGACAAAATGTTCTAAAAACAAAATAAGACAAAAAATAAAGATTCACAAAAACAAACAACTTGTGAGACTTTTCTTACTTTTTTTTTTTTTTAAATCAGTTATTTTCAACTTACCACAAACACTAACTTTCCAACATTTGTCCAGGGAAAATCGTAAAGTAATTGTTTCTCTTCATCTAGATTCTGTGGAAAAAATAATGATGCATTAGAGTTAATACGAAAAAGGACATATACTCTAAAATGGTTCCAGCTTTTCTCTCCTAGAAAACTAAAATTTAGTAATTAAAATATGAAAGAGTTCCTCAACTCTCTCTGGAAAAGTGCAGACAGTAATTAAAAGATTACTGATAAAATTCTGTAGCTTTTAGTTCCTTCATGACTGCATTAACTGGCCCTTTTAAGCAATCTTTTCCCTTCTGGCCTATCCCTAAATTTAAATAAAAAGTCCAAAAGACTCAGACATTCAAAAGATGTGAGAAGGGACTCAGACTTTCATAATTGGGTATTTTGCCTACATCAAAAATATCCTTATATGGTCCTCTATCTTGCAGGAAGATTTTTCTCTCTCCCTGGTTGATGGCTGTAGGATAATAGTATCCTACCTGCAAAAGGGTAACAGCCACTACTTATTAAAGGGACAAATTTTATCAGAAAAGGGTAACAGAAATTACAGGCTCCATATTAAAATGCCATTTTTATTTCCACAGTTATTAAATTCTCTAGAGGATAAAAAGAATATTGAAAATCAATGCCATACAAACAGAAATGTTTGGATAGTAACAATTGCTAGTGATCTGTTAATGATGAACCTGGGCTAACTTTCAGCTTGTTGTTTTCTGTTACAGAGGACTTACTACTGTCAGATCAGGCTGAGTCACTTCTTTCACTCAGTCACCATCATCCACCATCTGTGCTAGACAAATAGGAAATAATAACTGGAAATGAACCACTGTGCCTATGGCAGGATCTCACAGGCACACTTTCAATGTAAGACATGGTCAATACCATTTGACACTTAATTCTCATATACCAACCTGAAAGATCTGTATTCCCCGCATAGTCAATCCAAGGGTCAGTGAGGCTTCAATTTCTCTTTTATCCTGCAGGAATAAAATATTATGAAAATGTATATTCTTTCCCCTATAACAAACAATCTAGCACCAAAGGAAAAAAAAGAGAGAAATTTCAGGATTGGAAAATTTTTGTCTTAACTTTGTTCACATCTTTCCACATTCCAAGTTTTCTACAAGATTTGAGAAAATAATGAACCTACATTAAATCAATAATGGCATATTCTACATTTTAAGTCCTTAGGTTTCAAAGTTTTAGTGTTTTCAGTATATTAATATCCTTTCATTTCTTATAATATACTAAATACTTGGTTATTGAGAACTCTAATAGATAAGACTTTTTTTTTGTTGCTTTTGCATCATTTAATTTTTTTCACCTTCCATCTATGCTTACTCTTTTCTCAGATGTTAGAATCTTGAATCTAATGTCATGGTTATAAACTGAGATGCATTAGACTACATATATTTAAAATTGGGCAAATCTCCCAGCTTCCTAATCCTGAAGCCAAAAGTACAGACAAATGATTAAACATTTAAAAGATATTTCATGAGCACAGGTAATAAAACCACAAAAGCTTTATATTTAGTTAGTTTGGAAGTACTTCTTTTTAAGAAGTTCAGTTATCACTTGCCAGTATGATATGCATTCTACCAACTAAACCATAAACTGTGAAACTTAAACTACAACAATCATAAGGAAAAATAATCCTACAATTAAAAACATACTCTGAGATTTGGCCCCTTCTTTCAAGTGCTCATCTGTAATAAGTATATATAAGGTATTAAGTTCAAAATATAAAATAAAGTTACAACTAAAATATTTTCATTAACTCTCAAACCAATGAATGTGTGTAAGTCATTATTAAGTTTGATGCCAATTTTCTCAAACATGTAAAAAATATTTTTAGAAAATGCATAGTCATCTGAGATAAAGACATAGCCTATTTGGACTGGTTTCTTTCCAACTAATATATTTTTATGTAATGAAAGGTATTTCTAAGGTTTAACAGGAGAAACATATCCATGACAAATTTTGACTAATTTTCCTTTCCATGCTGTACTTGAGATACCTTCTAAGATAAGATTGTGCTCAAGAAAAGATGGTGGTTCAGGTGTGAGGTGTGTATTGGTGGGAAAGGATCATAAAACAGCTTTTTTATTCCAGAATATTCCCTGTCCTATCTTTTTTACATTTTATAAGCAACACGTAAATGAAGTGTATTAAACGGTTGTCACTTGATTTCTCCAAAGAATGAAAACTGCTCATCAAGTAACAATATCTATTCACTCATTTTATTCAGTTAAATTTTTATTAAATCAAGCAGACAAGAGAGTAATTTTCTATGCAATATAGAAGAACCACACATCAAGCAAACTTGAAAAACTGGTTTTGACAAAAAAAGATACATTGGGCCTACATACTTCCTCACTGAAAGAATCTTAGTTCTTCATAAAATTCTGCCGCAGTCTGGTTGGGCACAATCAGGAGCCACTTGTCAAAAGAAACTAACTTTATTTTTAGAACCACACACGACAAACAAAATAGTCTCTCAGGAAAAACCCTCAGAGCCTCAACTGCCACCACCGGCTTTCCCCAAGCCTCTCTCTCCCACACAAGCTTCTCCCCACCTCCCACAATCCTCCTGCTCTTGAGGCCGATTGGCTGGGTCACGTGGGCGGAGCCAAAAAAGTCCCCCAATGAGCAGCTCCGTGGTCTGAAAGGGCAGGGAAACAGTCCAATGAGCATCACCGCAGAGGAGCCAATCAGCTAGATGTTGCTGGGGCCGAGGAGCCAATCAGCTAGATGTTGCTGGGGCCGCTGTGAGCCAATCATCAGCCAGCAGCTGGAAGTTTGCTGGCAGCTGGAAGTTTGCTGGGGCCCCTTTGGCTGTGGCTCTCAACAAAATTCTTTAAAATAGCAAACTTCCCCAGCACATAAGGGAAGAAATGATTAATAGTTATTGAGCACTCACTAATGTGACAGGTATTCCACCTTGTTATTTCAGATTTGTTACCTCCTTAAACCCTCTCAACCTTTTGGAGTATATAGCATCATTCTCACTTAATAGATGGCCCGAGGTTATAGTTATAGTAGCCGAGGACCCAGCAGCAATGAGTAGTGACATATGCTTTCTACCTGATACTTTATTCCAAAGCCAAAGTTTTTCTATCATATTATTCATACTTCTAACACATTTCAAAATATAAACTGATTGTCAAAAGTATCATTTATTGGCATTTTCTCATGTAAAGTGTCACACATAAAATATCTTAAGAAAAAGGAGAGGGAGAGAGGGAAAAAGGGAGAATATGTTGGTCCCTGATTAAGTTTTCAGAACCAGCTAGATTACCCAGCAATACATCTAAATACAGTTCAGTCTCCAATGGTCTAGTTAAGCTAACTTTACCACGAGGGTATGGCAGAGATAACAAGCACAGTAATAACAATGCTAATGATGAAAAGTAGCAAGCTTAGCACTGTGCTTATCAGGTTATGAGCTCTGTTTCAAGCACTCTTTATCCACTAATTCCTTTAGTCTACTGCAATCCTAACAGGTAAATATAATTGTTTCCATCTAACTAAGCGGGAAACTGAAGCACAGACAGGGTAAATAAGTTGTCTGAGGTAACACAGTAAGAAGGCAGGCTGGGATTCAATCCCAAGCAATTAGGCCCAACTGACCATGCTCTTCATCCTATTAGGTTTGCAAACATATCTTGAATAATGAAGTGGGAATTCAGGAGTTCTTACCAAGGAAGTGGCACTTGTAGAATTGGGAAAAGAACAGAGGGAAGAGGGAAGAGAAGACAAGAAGATGAGAAACAGCAGTGTAAGTGATTCTGGGCAGAACATGCCCCCACCTCCATTATTTGGGTATGTAACCTCTGCCCCAGGGTGAGACTAGGGACACACATGACACAAAAGACAGTAAAGGATTTCAAAGAGTGAGGAGTGAGTGTGGTGGCTTAAGCACATGGGCTTTGTTATCAGGAGGCCTGGGTTAAATCTAGGCTCATCACTTAGTTTTGTGACCTTAGGTGAATTACTTAACCTCCTCAGTTTCCTGGTCTATAAAATGAGGATTACAGTTCCTTTCTTATAGAGTTATAAGGATTAAAAAAAAAAAAGAATACATGTAAAATGTGCCCCATAAACACAGTACTCCATAAACATTAGCTATTGCTGTGGTATTCTAGTAATTAATGCATAGGATGTACGCAAGGTTTCACTTTGAAAAATAAGAACTGTTAAAAAATACTCCATCCTGCTTCCATGCCAGAGGGAAAGCACCATCACTTTCCAGGCTAACCTCTGATAACAAAGTACAGTTCAACCAAAACTTGTAAAAGTCAGTTAAAAAAGGAAATCATAATTTTCAAGAGAACTGAAATCCTAATTGAGAAGGCGTTTTTCTCAAAAGTTACAGTTTATTTCAGTTTTGTACCTTATACAATCTGTAGTAATGAACTGCAACATCATCCAGTCGAACAGCCTCTTTGATATATTTAAGATAAGCCTCGGAAGCGGTCAGTGCAAACTGATCTTTGTGCATGTTTGGAATGTGCTTCAGGATGTAGTCCTTCCCCCTCTTGGAAACAACCTGTTGGGATACAAGGGATGTGCAATGCAACATTTGTTTGAGGGATGTAAGTACCACCCCCATCGCCAAAATGATAAAAGGGAGAGAATCTACAGCAGGCCATGTAAACTGGCTAATTTCCATTAGAAAATTCCTACTTTTATTCTGTTTTCATCAACTGTTAAGAGACTAAGCTGAATCAGCTAATGCTATAAGCCAGATATGCAGTACTATCAGCAGTACTGCATATCTAAGAAGAAAAGTCACAGGAGGTGGAAAAATTAGGTTCTGTTGGCTTTAAAGTCACCAAGAAAAAAAATGACATGCAAACTTGCATAATTTTGTACACATCACAGTTTATACTTGCAAAATGATTAGCACAATGAAATACATTTACTGTCAGCATATCTGCAAGTTCTTGATCCTACTTAACTTCTAAATTACAGCCACGGAGTGGAAGAATATAAATGTTCATCAGAAGAAGGCCAGGGACTGGGAAGAATTCTCCAAAACATTTTTGGTTCTTGCCTAAGAGGCTATGAACAATCTATTTGAATACTTGTGAGAAAACAAACTCATTCGAACATGCATTGTAATTCCTTATAGCCTAGATTTTCATTAGTGTAACATTTTAGATATCAAAAATATATAGTATCCAGAAGCTGCAGGCTAAGAGAAAGGTGTTGATTAAAGTCTTAGTTGATTCCACAAGTATTATACAATATGTAAAGAATTATGCATGAGCAAAAAGTGATGAAAATAATCAAAATAAAAAATTAGCGATTTTTAAGCCTAAAAATGACTTCATAGATATTGGTATTTTGTTTCTCCCTATTGAATAATTTATAAAGAATTAAACTTTATAAGTTATTGAGTGATTATCCAATTTTGCTGAGAACTCAAATTATAGGTTTTTCTAGACTTTTTTCTTTTTTAAATGGGAATCACCTAAATCAGTATGTGTCAACATTTCTTTTTTCAGTTCAAAAACCACAGAAAATAATATTTGTAAGAGTAACAGAATGGATAATTGGGGTCATCTCTAGAGTAAACTGGTACCATAGCACACTCTTTTGGGATCTCTGATATAACTATCAAATTTAGTGTCTGATTACAACTAAAGAAAGCAATGCACTCCACAGTGAGAGCTTGACACACAATGTGGTTTCTCTTCAATGAGTAAAGCAATGTCAATCAGAAATTTATTGCGCATTTCAGTGTGAACTGAAGATAATAAAGGTTCTGTTTATGTCTGGTCCTTGGAATATACTAAGAAACGCTGAATTTACTGGGGAGAAGAGATGAACAGATCATTTGAAAATAGATGGATAACACTTATGTTCAAGGTCTTCTTCAGCCAGAATAGGGCCTAGTTGGACTGCCCAGAGGAAGCCACACCAGAACTGAGTCTTGGAGGACCCAAAGGAGTTAGCAGACTTAAAAGGGGAGGGAATTTGGGATAGGAAAGATAGTAGAAAGAAACAGATATTATTACTTTATGTATATATGTGACTGCGTGACCAGTATGAATCTACAACATGTACACTCAGAAAAATGAGAAATTATATCCCATCTATGTATGATATATCAAAGTTCATAAATGCATTCTACTGTCATGTATAACTAATTAAAACAAATAAAAATAATAATAAAACCATTACATATGGGAAAAAAAAAGGGAGTGGGCTCAACTGGTTAAAGAACTACAAGAAAGGCCCAGAAGTGTGAAATACCACAGTAAGTGTGAATACTTATCAATTGCAGAATATTGCTAGAACAGAAGTTCAAGGTGCTGGACAACTAGAGAGAGAGTGGGCGGGGGCGGGGGGGGGCAGAACACGAGAAAGCTAAAGAGGCCAGCAGAGACCACATCCTGGGGAGTTTCTAGGTCATACTTAGGAGCTCTGGATTTCACACCACAGGGAAGCTCCAAAATCATCTCAAGCTATGGAATAAGCAAGGAAGTGACAGTGCTGCTGAGAACCGGAGTCTGGAAAATGGTAGGGACCATGAGAGGGAGGGAAACCATGAACACAAAAGGATGTTATTTCTTAAGCAGGGTCACAGGTATTGAAGTGTTTTATCAGAGGATGCTGTGGAGGATGGCTGGACAGGACAGGGAGAAGGCATGGTTATAAGACAGAGTTCCATCTGACTCCAGTTTCTGAGCACATGGGCAGATGACAGTGCCCCTGACAAAAAGAGAGATAGGATTACACAGAAGTGAGGTGGGAAGATGATGAATTTGATTCAGAAAATCTTGAGTTTGGATACTTAAGGATGAATAACTACTTCACAGACATAGGGGAAAGAAATAGATTTGGGAGTTACCTGCATATAGGAGGTTGTTAAAGCTGGTTAAAGGGTTGGGGTTGTGGCTCAGTGGTAGAGTGCTTGCCTAGCATGTGTTGGGCACTGGGTTCACTTGGGAAGGAAGAAGCTAGAAAATTAAATACACACTACATTCTCAGAGGCCACAGTGCTAACCATTATGCCATGTAACTTTATATTACACACTGCTTTTTCAAGAAACTTCCTGAGAAGGAAGGCAATGGAGGTGGCTCTTCTTTCTCTGGGTTGTATGGACAAACACTCATATTCTGAGTGTCCTGACTAAAGGAGTGTGAGTCTGAGAAGGGGCTGATGACACAGAAGAGAGAAAAGAGCAAGATCTGTAGGAAGGATGGGAAGATAAATGAATTAGGATACAGAAAGGGAGTGACAGTTCACACTGGAACAACCTAAATTTTCTTTCTAAAGTAAAGGGTGGCTCCTATCCTAGGAGGAAAGGACGTGGAGGTCAGAGTGAGAAGTTGATTTAGATTTGTTTTCTCAGCCCAAGAAAACTGTGAATGATCTCATCTTTTAAGGAGTAATGTTTTCCTACTCAATGGGGGAAAATACTGCTCTACTAAGAGTGAATAAGACACAGTCAGTACATGGTGAAGGAGAATGGCAAATTCAAGTTCCATCATACTGGTGGTGGAGAATAGACTCTCCCCATTAGCTACATGCTGAGAAGCACATCAAGACATGTGCATCATGCTCTCAAGTGTTAAGTGTATGTTGGGGCATCATGGGTGGTTTTAATGGCCCCATAGCCATGTGGTTCCCATCTCTTAAAACAGTATAAGAAACAGCAAATTAGAAAAGTACTCAAGAAAACACTCATGAGAATTTGAAAACAGTGCCTACCCAAGATGGAAAGTAAGCCTCTGGCTCAAAGTATTTTCCACAGTGCTTATTCCTTTTGAAGTTCCCAAGATCAGCCTGCAGGGCAAAGGCTGCCAGCAGGAAGTAGGCCTCCTCTCGGAGCACACACTGAGAATGGAGGACTTGTTTTCTCAGGTGCCAGTAATAATAGTATCTTGCTGCTCTGTCACTAGGAAAATAAAAGAAAACAGAAATCACATTTTGGTGAACAATGCAATGGCATGTAAACAGAACCCAATCCTGCTCTCCATCTGGTGACAGGAGCCCTTTGTTTCTTCTCCTCCCACCACTTCACTGAAAAGGGGGTGAGGGCTGCTCATGGGAGTGAGGGGAGGGGAGGACTCCAAGTCAGACTACCACAGCAAAGATAAGGCTCACAGCTTTTGATCCATCACAGAAGGGTGGAGGTATTTACTCCAATACGGTAAAAATATCACTGAATGCACAGAATGGACCTATTAGAAGCCACGGCATCTGCTGTATTTAAAATAGTTTGTTACCACGATGATGCTTTACACATGACACAAATAAGTACAAATATAGGAGTAATCCTGGATTTAATGTTTTGCTGTTCTTTTTTGTTTCCTAGCTGAGCACTTACAAATATCAGAGGCCCTTTTAAAAATGTTTGTTTATATACCCTTCTAGAAAACAAAAATCTGCTTAACTATAGTGTTTTTTGTTTTTGTAATTCTCTGAGAGTGAACTAAAAGCTTCCCTTAAATCTGTTATTTTTTTTTATTAAGTAGATATTACTTTGTATATCATAGACAGGGTCATGACAACCATATGCTGCCCACAAAATGAAGAGCTACTAGTGCACTCATGACAGTCCACTGAGGTCAGAAATAAATACAGTCTCCATTAAAGGTGGATTATGGAAAACCTGGTCAAAGCTCAAAAAAAAAAAATTGTTCATGGGCAAATAAGATGCTTTGCAATCAAAGTACATATGCAAGAAAAAATGTGTGCATATGTATGTATTTTAATGAGCTAACTGCCTCCTTACCATTTTAGGTTGACTGTTTACCTAAGATATATAGCTCATTAGTAGATGATAATAAAAACATACTGGTTTACTTTAACTGAGGCAATTTTTAAATATGAGGAGCTTAAAAATAAAGCATTTATGTAATTCTTTCCCCTTGGGACATAGAACTCTTCAGAGCACTTCTTTTTATAATACTGACCACACATTGTTTGGACTGGGAGAAAAGGCAGAAGTATAGGCTACCTCCATGGGGTTAATTAGTGGCTAAATAATATATTTTCCCTCTTTCCAAGGCATTGCACCCTTATCAGGTAAATTGAATAAAATCAAACTATAAACTAAGAATAACTAGTAAAGTTTCTTAGTCTTTTAAAAAATATTCCTCATGAGATGATGTGTTTTACTCTTTAACTTGCACCTAGCAATAACATAAAATATCAAGAACTAATTTGCTAAATAATTCACCAGGCAATGTATTTTTTTCTCTTTTACATGGAACTTCTCAGAGTTTAATAATAAAGTAAAACACAGAGTTCACATTTCTTGTGTTTTCTATCAGCTAAGAAAAATCACCTTTGAAAATTTTAAAGCACCAAATCCTTCTATACAAAAGATTAACAGAGCTTTCAAAGGGCTGAATTCTGAATTTGCATCATGGGCATAGTACTCTTCACAAACCCACCCCTAGAAGGAAGACTTGATTACCAGCCCTCATCAAACTGCACCTCAGTGTCCCACAGGATAGCTCCACTGGGATTAATCTTAGTTCTGAAGCATTGGTAGGAATAGAAACAAGACCCTCAAGTGTAAAAGGAATACCAGGCAAAGATGTAGGCACTTTTACAAGTAAGCTCTTGCCCCTGCCGTACCCCATCCCACTCCTAGAAAAGAATATAATCCTTTAATCAGCCTCTCCATGGAAGTGTTAATTCCTTCTTCTTGGCTAGTATTTTAGTGAAAATGTGGAGTAAAAAATATGTGAGCCAGTGATGTCAACATTTTCATTCATAGTCTACTACTATCACTAAATATTCAATAAATATTTATTACTGATTGTACCTTTGTTTTATAGATTGAAGATACATGAGGATGTAAAAAGATGAAAAAGAAAAAAATTGCTACTGTTATAGACTTTATATTCTAACAGGTGGAAAGAAACAGTAAACACAAGTAACTTATTTGGTACGTTAGAAGAAGTGCAATGAGAAAACAAAGGTTCAGAATTCCTCCTTGTCCTCATACCTGATCAATCTGCCATTTTCCACATAGTACTGCACACGGAAGTGTATAATCATGGGAGGCCCAAACTGGTCAATACCCTAAAACAAAAACACACACAGAAAACAAGCTATTTTTGGCTGCTTCAAAAATGGGTTTCAAAAGCAAGTACAATACCATTATTTAGTAGTAATGAGTGGGGGCTTGAAGTGGGTTCTGCTGGAATACCAGGTCCCTGAAAAACTAGGAAATTACAAAGCAAAACAGGACACTATCTCTTTATCTAATTCTCATTCACAGTAATGCCAATGACAACATAAGGGAAGATAAAAATAAATGTCATAGAAATTTCTAGCTGAGATTCAGCTCCTGGCTCAGCTCTGTCCCCTGTGGTGACCATTTGCTCCTTATTACAAATGTTCTCTTATTCCCTTGACATTCCACATACCAAATTCTAATAAGCTATTTGTTTATTTAGACATTCATCTTCTTTAGTCTGTAGCTGGCTTTGAAGTAACCCTCCAGTTCATCCCAAGAATTCTTAACTATAAATTGGAGCATCTGGGATTAGACACTGTGATTTTATTCCTGACTTACTAGGGTGATCCTGGAAACTCAATATGAATTTCCTGTGAATGTTCTAGCGTATAAATGGAATTTTTACTAAATAAAGGCAACAGTATGATAAGATAACTAAAGATCAAATGCAAGTATAGTAAAAGTAGATTAAATAGTTAATAGTAAATTTAAGAACAAGTTTTGACAACGTAACTATGGAAAAGAAGCATATAATTTTTCCATGCTTTTTACTTCAAAGCATTATCACAAGATTACTAAAACATTATTATCCAACATTAAACAACATTCAGAACTATCATTATACTATACGTTATTCATACTTGATTAATGTGATATTTTAGAATGTATAATTCATTCCCTTTTTCTATTCTCTATAGAATAAATTATTATTCATGATTTTTTATAATATTTAACAGCCAAATAAACAAGTTTAAAAAAAATCAAAAAAATTTTGCTCATAAATATAATCTCACCCAAGTGACTTCGTATTGTCGTACCTTGCTGGCCTCCTTCTTCCATTCTTTTGGACAGTATTTATAAAGCTTTTGTGACAACTCCATATATACATGTTCATTATCTGCACAGTAAAAAAATAAAAAAGACAAGATGTTAAAAAAGAGATATTTAAATGAGAATAATGTTCAAAGAAACAACTTTTTAAAAGAAGCCTTGAGATTTGTGAATGTAGTCTGAATTTATATACTACCAAGAAAACTCAACGAGATACTAAAATATTAAAAGTACTATGGGCTACGCATTAATGAGATTATACATTATTTCACTTCTACAATACAAAAACTCATAAAATGTAGTTGTAGTATGTAAGATTAATTAAAAAAAAACAACCCGGTTTTGAATTTCTGCTTTGCTTAGTTTCTAGGGTCATTATAACTTCATATAATTTCCAACACTGTGGGTGTCACTTAGTCTTGGAAAAACATGCTTTTGTTTAACTCACAGAAAACTGTTCCTGTAGGTGCAAAATAATGAAAAAGGGCAGAAACACCATTTAATTGCTATGTAAGAAATTATAAATTATTAATGACAGCCCATTTCCAAGTGAGAATTCTGAAGCCATTTTGTCAAGAATAGTCTTTAAGAAAAATTCTCTGTATTTCCTGCATCAAAACAAAATGATAAACTTGTCATACTGTGTTTTCTTGATTGCCTTTGGGACTCATTTTGTGGAAAGAGAAGAATCTTATAAAAACAAGTATGAATGCCAAAATATTTCTTCAAGGGGTTCTTGTTTATAAGGTGAATAGAAAATAAGACTGCTAAAACTATGTAAAAATGAATACATATGTGAAAAAAAGCTGATTATAAATTCTCCATTTTTCCTAAAAATAATCTTTAAAAGTGAAATATGTCCCACCAGACAAGTCTTAAGCACTCTTGTTTTGTACCAAGTTTTATTTATTTTACAAACCAATTCCTTTTTCTCTGTCACTAACTGGGGGCATCCTCTTGAAATGTTCTGCATAAAAATACTCATGTTGGAAGGGAAGCGGTCTCTTTGCTCCAAGAATAAACAAGCTTGATTACACTGCTGATTCCTGGCTGAATAGTGAGGTTCAACTGGAAAAATGTCAGAGGAGAATAGGAAGAGTAAAGCTACGCTGGCTATAAATGGAATATTATATCATCTAATTTGAATGAAAAGGATGAAGTAGTGGTCCCAGAGTCAACAAAGGGATGCCACTTAAACCCAATTATCAGGTTAGGAATACTATCTCCCATCTCTCATTTATACTGATCAAACACAAAGTGGACAAGACCAGACAGCCTTCCTGTTAAATCTAATTTGCGTTTGATGTGAGTTTCCGAAAGAAGTAGCAACATAATAAACAGCACTGAGACTGTTCACCATGGGAGCACATATATATTTTTAACCTACCACTGTATTTCCACCCCCTTACAGTTTGACCAGAGCTTTTAATTTAAGAATTCTAGAGTTTCTGAAAAGCTGAAAGGAGGTTCCTGGAGAATTTTGCTCCCAGAGAAGGTATAGAAACTCTGTACCCCTTCTCCCAACTTCACTCTATGCATCTCTTCATCTGTATCCATTGTAATAAACTGGTAAATGACTGAACGAGTAGGCTGGGTTTCTCACTGTTGGAGGAAGAGGTTACAAATAATGAAAAAAGAAAGGACTGGAACGAATCCCATGGAAATGGATTGGAATTATGTGTGTTAATATGAACTCATGAGTGTAAAGAAAAATATGTGGAGAAATTTGTGAGTGGAAAAATTTGACAGTCCTAGATTCTCTTTGCCTATAACGACTATTACTAAGACAACAGACAAAATTAAAGGCCATTTAGTATCAAACCAGTGTTAATTTTTCTAATTATGATACTTATATTGTAGTTATAGAAGAGAATGTCCTTGTTTGTAGTATGTAGGAATAGAGGAAAGACATGCATGAATGGAAGAAACAGATGAGATAAAATGTTGACCTTTGAGGAATATGAATGAAGGGGATATGGGAACTCTTTGTAGTATTCACGCCATACTTCTGTAAATCTGAAATCATTTCAAAACAAAAAGTCCAATACTTGGAATGGTATTTAGATTCCTGGTATTTAGAGGGCACTAGAATGTTAATAATAGTTGTATTTTAACATGTTAATGTTTGAAGTACTACAGAAAATATATCTTTTGTTATTTGACTTATAAGGAGAACTTCAGATACCAATCTAAGAATGTGTGAGAGTATTTAGGGCAATAAAGCTATTCTGTATACTGAATGGTAGTTTCATGCTTTTATACATTTATCCAAACTCATAGAATATAACACACCAGGGGTGAACCCAAATGTTAACTATAGACTTCAGGTGCTAAGAATGTGTCAATGTAGGTTCATTGATTGTAATATGTGTCATTCTGGTGCAGGATGTTGACAGTGGGGGAAGCTCTGTGTGTGTCAGGGGCGGGGGTTCAAGGCATATATGGGAACTCTCTATACTTCCTGCTTCACTTTGCTGTGAACCTAAAAGTACTCTACAAAATGAGGCTTATTAAAAAAATTTCTCAAGAACACACCAATCCTGCAAAATTGGTGGGGCAGTAAGTTCTATTTGACATGTGAAAAACTGACAATGACAGGAGTCAAATGGTATGTCCAAAGTTGCACAGCTAGTTAGTGGCAAAACTAGAATTAGAACCGGGCCATCAGATACCCATTCCACTGTTTCTTCACCTTTAAAGAGGACATCTTTAAAATGCTTATTTTGAAACCGAAGGGAGCCGTAAACTGGCTTTCTTGGACTGACTTGCTGAACAACATATATCAACATATGGAATGGTATTTAGATTCTGTAGCTGTAGTTCAGTGAGAAGAATTAACTTTTGAGTATATAACATTAAAAATTCTTAGACTCTATAGGGCATCTTAAGACTCTTCCTTGAAAGACAACACAGGTATATACTAACACAAGGACACAGCTTAGTGTTTGTGTTTTCACTGCTCTGACCACCACAGGCAGAAATGGAAGAGCAAATGGCTGATTCACAGGGCCCTGATGTGATCCCTGAACCATGGTTAGCATCTCCTAAAAAGTCAACTAAACACAGTTCACATTTTGGAAGAGAAAGGGCCTAGTTTATCACTTGATCATGATGCACTTTCCAACTTGGCAAATATAAACACTTAAATGTACTGATGCCGGGTGTGGTGCCACACTCAAGTAATCTCAGTGACTTAGGAAGCTGAGGCAGGAGTATCACAAGTTTAAGGCCAACTTCAGCAACTTAGCGAGATCCTGCCTCAAAACAGAAGGTCTGGAGATGTGGCTCAATGATTAAGCAGCCCTGGATTAAATTCCTCACACCAATATAAGAGAGAGAGAGAGAGAGAGAGAGTGTGTGTGTGTGTGTGTGTATGTGTGTGTGCGTGTGTGGAGAGAGAGAGAGAGAGACAACTTTTTTTTAAAAAATTATTTATTCTTTTGAGTTACACATGACAGTAGAATGTATTTTGACATGTCATATACACATGGAGTATAACTTCCCATTTTGTGGCTGTACATGATGTGGAGTTATACTGGTGATGTATTTATATATGAACATAGGAATATTATGTCCAATTAATTCTACTGTCTCTCCCATACCCCTCCACCTCTCTTCCCCCCACTACCCTCCCCCCCCCCCCCAATCCAGTGAGCTTCCAACTAATTCTTCCCCTGTGCCTATTGTGAGTCAGCATTTACGTATTAGAGAGAACACTGGCCTTTGGTTTGTTGGGACTGGCTTATTTCATTTAGCATGATAGTCTCCAATTCCATCCATTTAGCCAATGCCATAATTTCATTCTTTATGGCTGAGTAACATTCCATTGTGTATATGTACATTTTCTTTACCCATTTATCTGTTGAAGGGCACCTAAGTTGGTTGCATAGCTTAGCAACTGAGCTGCTATAGATGACAATGTAGCTGCATCACTGTAGTACACTGATTTTGAGTCTTTTAGGTATATGCCAAGGAGAGCGACAACTGGGTCAAATGGTGGTCCCATTCCAAATTTTCTGAAGAATCTCTATATTGCTTTCCAGAGTAGCTGCACCAATTTGTAGTCCTATCAGCAATGTATGAGTGGACCTTTTCCCCCCACATCCTTGCTAACATTTATTATTGCTTGTATTCTTCATAATTGCCATTCTGATTGGAGTGAGATGAAATCTCAGTGTAGTTTTAATTTGCATTTCTCTAATTGCTAGTGATGTAAAACATTTTTCATATATTTATTGAGTGATTGTATTTCTTCTGTGAAGTATCTGTTCAGTTCCTTTGCCCATTTATTGATTGGGTTATTTGGGGGGGTTTTGGTGTTAAATTTTTTGAGTTCTTTGTATGTCCTGGAGATTAATGCTCTGAGGTGCAGGTGACAAAATTTTTCTTCCATTCTGTAGGCTCTCTCTTCATGTTCTATATTAAGCTTTAAAATTTATACTAATCCTACTATTAGAAAATAATCAACACCTATGCCCAAGTATAAAATATAAATAAATTTCATGAAAAAAAGTCTTCTTGTCAAAATGAGCAAAGATATGAAAGGTTTTTGAGTATGTAGAAGACTAAATCACAGAAAATTCAAAATATGATTTGAAAGAAGAAAACTTATAAAAACAATGGCTGTGGATAAGTCCTGAGAATTTAACTCTAAGATATTATGGGAGAGGAAAGCTTGTATGGAATTCTTCATTTGAATTTTTCTCACATAAAATATATGGACAATAACAACCCTACGTTTTCAAGTCATATAGTCTGACTAGGAAAAATGTGTGGGGAGGGAAGGACAGAAAATAAGATGCAATTAATAGATCACTGTTATATATATTGAAATATTTGTGTAATCTCAAATATTATAAAATGGATTACAAAAATATCTAGGATACTTTTCTCCTAGCTCTAATTATTCCCACAATTCAGGGAAATAAAGATGAAGCTTAGTTCATTAAAACATAAGTTGGTAAACCAAATGTGGTTGCACATGCCTAAAATCCCAGTGATTCACAAGGCTGAGACAGGAAGACTGCAAATCAGAAGCCTGCCTCAGCAACTTAGCAAACCTTTCCCCAAAATAAAAAATAAAAAAGGATGGGGATGTAGCTCAGTGGTAAAGTGCCCCTGGGTTCAATCTCCAGTACACAGAAAAAAAAAAAGTCTAAAAATATTTAATTTTAAAACATAAGAAAATAAATGCATAAAATCTGGATTATAAAAAAAATACATAGTAGTTGAGGTTAAAAAATAAATATGAGGGATGGAGATATAGCTCAGTTGGTAGAGTGCCTGCCTTGCATGCACAAGGGCCTGGCCCTAGGTTTCAACCCCCAGAACCTAACTAACTAACTAAATAAATAAATAAATATTAGACTAAGAGTGAAGATAAGTTTATAAACATTCTGATAATCACAATTTTATAATTATATGCCTGATTTAAGTTACACATTAGTTTAGGGATCTTTGGCTAAATCTATCAGGGATACGATTAAGATTCTTGATGAACTGGGGCTGGGATTGTGGCTCAGTGGTAGAGATCTCACCTAGCACATTTGAGGCCCTGGGTTCAATCCTCAGCGCCACATAAATATAAATAAATAAAATAAAGTTATTGTGACCAACTAAAACATAAATATTAATATGATGAACTGAAGTGCATTCTGCGGTCATGTACAACTAAGTAGAACAAATAAAAATAATAAAAAAAAGACTTACTTTGTATAACACTGAGTCCAAATAGATGACAATCTTTTAGCCTGAGAAGGTCACACACCTGGACCAGCAACTGGTGACACAGAATTTTAACCTATAAAGGAAAAAAAGCACAACTTGAAATAACAATTAAACTAGGTACACACAGTGAACCACAATCAGGCAATTTAATGTTCTATAAATAAATACCTTGATAGGACTAAGTGACACAGTCCTTAGTCCAATTAGCAAAACAACTGTTAATTTGTGGAAATCACTTTAATCTATGGCTGTGTTTCCTTGATTATCACAATATCCATTTTTACAACACGAAAATTAAGTATCAATACAATATTGCACAAGACTCATAAATCTCATGATGAGTGGGCAAGGCTCCCAGATCAGTGTATGAAAAATGGGTATGAAAAAAGATGCCTAGGACAGCCTACCTGATTACTAAAAAAAGTACTCATTTGAAAAGCATCTTTTCTTTCTTTTTGAAAAATAAGGCATCATTTAAATTTACAGGATGCAATATGTTGTTTTGATATGTGTATACATTATTGAATAGATATACTGAAATAATATATGGATTTTTTGTGGTGAGAACATTTAAAATCTACACATTTTTGAGTATATAATACATTATCATTTACAATAGTCACCATGTTATATAATAGATCTTTTGAATTCATTCTTCCTGTATAACTGAAATTTTGTATCCTCTGACTAATATCTCTCCAATCCCCACTCATCCCTACTCTAATAACCACTATTCTCTCTCTGCTTCTATGAGTTAGACTTCTTAGTTCTCACATATAAATAATACTATGCAGTACTTATCTTTCTGTAGAGCCTGCCTTATTTTACTCAACATAATAATATTCTCTGGGTTCATAAATGTTCTTATGAATGACAGAATTTCTTTCTTTTTATGGCTGAACAGTATTCCATTGTGTGATGTGTGTGTGTGTATGACTTTCTTTATGCATTCAACCACTGATGGATATTGTGGTTGATCCTATATCTTACCTATTATGAAAAGTGCTGCAATGAATGAACATGAGAATACAGATGTTTCTTCGACTTACTGATTTCATTTCCTTTGTATATATATCCAAAAGTGGGATTGCTGGACCATATAGTAGTTCTATATTTAATTTTTTGAAGAGCCTTGTACTGTTTTCCACAATGGAAATAGACTACAAGCATTCCCTAATGAGTTGACACTCATTAATTTCACTCTTTTTGATAAGCACCATTTTAACAGGTGTAAGGTGATATCTCATTGTAGCTTTAATTGACATTCCTTGATGCTCAGTAATGCTAAGCATTTTTTTCATTCATCTACTGATGATTTGTGTATCTTCTTTTGATAAATGCCTGTTCAGGGCAAGTATCTTTTAAAGAAATGTTTTCTTAATACTGTAAGCAAATTATTTATATACTGAACAATGAGTGACTGCCTAGCTTATATTTATTTCAGCCAATCACTGTTATTATCTAATATCTTTGTCCTTTTCTGAGTCTAGTATAATTCCATTTTAAAATCATGTTAATCTGGAACTCTGTGGGTAAGCTATTCTAAATTTAAGACATAGTTTTGATCTTTCTCAAATGTTAATGAAGTGTTGGGAGAGGGCATTAATTCTGCTGAATCTGCAGAATTCGAATTACCAAAGTTTATTACAGTTGGGATCAACTTTAGAAGACTATCGAGCTCAATCTCTTCATTTTATAGAAGTAGAAATCTCAGCTTAAAGTCATGTAGCTAGTAGTATCAAAGGCAGAATTCACAAATCACTTGTGTATTAAAATAAATGAATGAATAAATAATACACAAATATGTGCAACATGATAGTTTATAATTATAGCTACATATATTACATGTAGCATATAGCTACATGTATTACATGTAGCATATAGCTACATGTATTACATGTAGCATATCCCCTCTCATAGGCATTAATTTTCTAATCATTTCTTCAGTGATAATGATGCCAATTAGTTTAAATTATAAGTTTTAAATTAGTTAACTCTGAATTTAATGACTCAATATCTTGATAAAAATATGCCTAGAAAACTGAAACACAAACAATTCAACACTATCTAATGATGATTCTAATTACAGTGAGAAGGATGGACTTATTGCTCTTTTGCACATTCATTATTACATGGCGACCAACCTAAAGCATTTTACCCATTGGAAAGAAGAGTCACCTAAGGCCAGAGTAGCACATGTTCAGTTGTTTAAGCAGCATCAGGAACTCAATGAAACAAGGACAGTGTCTTATTTAATATTCAGGATATGCAGTAGGCACTCAAATTAATGTTTGATGAATGAAAGCCAGAAATCTGATTCCCGAAGGCTCCTCTATACCTTTGTTGTGTTCCATGACCACAGACTTCTTCCTAATTTACTGAGAAAACTATTTTATAAATGTACTATTTAGAAATTTAGGAAAAAATATATCAATGTAAACCCATAATTACAACCCGGAGATCACATCTACCAATGGGAAACCACTATCATCCCCTTGTATACAACTAGCTTGATTCAACCATAAGAGAGCTTCATGTGTGTCCTACAGAGACTACATTATCTCCAATGTTCACTGAAAACACTCAGGATTTTGCGTTCCATGTTATCATAATTCCACTTTATAAATAGGCTTAAATAAACAATGATAAAAAGAGAACATATCAAATGTCATATACAATTCTTAAGTTGAACTAAATACTACAAATTTGAGAACTTATTATTCTAGAGTACCTTTAATACTTAGTTTGATGTACTTAATCCTCAGTTTGACCTAACTGGACATAAAGTAGTCTGGACAAAATGTAGCAAACAGTTAAACTTCCAAACCCTGAACTAAGTGTACATAAAATAAACTATGTTATAACTTTGTGTGACTATTGACCAAACAATACTGCACATGTCTCCATTATCCCTTATAATTATTATTGTCCCACCAGTTTAAATCAGATATTTGTAGCCTACTGATAAAGCTCTTTAACAACCATCAATAAGTATAGTGTTTTTATTTAAAAATTATAATTAAATAAGGATGTGGCTATGAAGTCTTACCTGCTGTGAAAACAAGCTTGAGTTTTCTGTATTCACATAGTATGAGTCTTTCAAGCCATAACTAAGCTGATTGTGAAATTTTCAACTTATTTAATCTTCAGGAACAATGAAAACTTTTTTTTTAAATTTTTTATTGTTGGTTGTTCAAAACATTACAAATTTCTTGACATATCATATTCCACACTTTGATTCAAGTGGGTTATGAACTCCCACCTTCATCCCATACACAGATTGCAGAATCACATCAGTCACACATCCATTGATTTACATATTGCCATACTAGTGTCTGTTGTGCTCCGCTGCCTTTCCCATCCTCCACCATCCCCCCTCCCCACCTCTCCCCTCCCCTCCCTCCCCTCTCTCTACCCCCTCCACTGTATAACCCTGAGGGTCTCCTTCCATTTCCAAGCAATTTCCCTTCTCTCTCCCTTTCCCTCCCACCTCTCATCCCTGTTAAATGTTAATCTTCTTCTCATGCTCTTCGTCCCTACTCTGTTCTTAGTTACTCTCCTTATATCAAAGAAGACATTTGGCATTTGTTTTTTAGGGATTGGCTAGCTTCACTTAGCATAATCTGCTCTAATGCCATCCATTTCCCTGCAAATTCTATGATTTTGTCATTTTTTAATGCAGAGTAATACTCCATTGTGTATAAATGCCACATTTTTTTTATCCATTCGTCTATTGAAGGGCATCTAGGTTGGTTCCACAGTCTTGCTATTGTGAATTGTGCTGCTATGAACATCGATGTAGCAGTGTCCCTGTAGCATGCTCTTTTTAGGTCTTTAGGGAATAGACAGAGAAGGGGAATAGCTGAGTCAAATGGTGGCTCCATTCCCAGCTTTCCAAGAAATCTCCGTACTGCTTTCCAAATTGGCTGCACCAATTTGCAGTCCCACCAGCAATGTACAAGTGTACCCTTTTCCCCACATCCTCGCCAGCACTTGTTGTTGTTTGACTTCATAATGGCTGCCAATCTTACTGGAGTGAGATGGTATCTTAGGGTGGTTTTGATTTGCATTTCTCTGACTGCTAGAGATGGTGAGCATTTTTTCATGTACTTGTTGATTGACTGTATGTCCTCCTCTGAGAAGTGTCTGTTCAGGTCCTTGGCCCATTTGTTGATCCCTGGGATGCAAGGCTGGTTCAATATACGGAAATCAATAAATGTTATTCACCACATCAATAGACTTAAAAATAAGAACCATATGATCATCTCGATAGATGCGGAAAAAGCATTCGACAAAGTACAGCATCCCTTTATGTTCAAAACTCTAGAAAAACTAGGGATAACAGGAACATACCTCAATATTGTAAAAGCAATCTATGCTAAGCCTCAGGCTAGCATCATTCTGAATGGAGAAAAACTGAAGGCATTCCCTCTAAAATCTGGAACAAGACAGGGATGCCCTCTCTCTCCACTTCTCTTCAACATAGTTCTCGAAACACTGGCCAGAGCAATTAGACAGACGAAAGAAATTAAAGGCATCAAAATAGGAAAAGAAGAACTTAAATTATCACTATTTGCAGATGATATGATTCTATACCTAGCAGACCCAAAAGGCTCTACAAAGAAACTATTAGAGCTAATAAATGAATTCAGCAAAGTGGCAGGATATAAAATCAACACGCATAAATCAAAGGCATTCCTGTATATCAGCGACAAATCCTCTGAAATGGAAATGAGGACAACCACTCCATTCACAATATCTTCAAAAAAAATAAAATACTTGGGAATCAACCTAACAAAAGAGGTGAAAGACTTATACAGTGAAAACTACAGAACCCTAAAGAGAGAAATGAAAACTTTTTAACGTGCTACACAGTATGAGGTATTAAGAGTTAAAGTTTTATCTAAAATAATACTCTATATGGAACTTTTAAGTTGAAACACCAATTTGATTCTAAATATATCAATGGTTTGCTGTTGCACAAGAAAGTTTAAAATGTTTTCTAGAAAAAGTTGTTCATTCTAGCCCTAGTTAAGACATATGCTCTTGTGGTGTGGGAGGTTGAGGAGGAAGGATTCAGAGTTCAAAGCCAGCCTCAACAACTTAGTGAGAGCCCTAGGCAACTTAGCAAGACCCTGACTCAAAATAAAAAATAAAAGGGGCAGGATGTGGCTCAGTAGTTAAGCACCTCTGAATAAAAGACATATGCTCTTAGCCAAAATTTCTATCACAAAAACTAATGGCTCTTACATTTATCATGATTTTATTTCCAAAATTTTCTGTTTCCATACTTAATATCTCCTTGATGATTAACATAATTAAAAATAGCCCCTAGTATAGTTCCTAAAAAATTCAAAATGATTGAAATTTACTCCACATGCAGAAGGGCAACATTCTATAAACCATACTTGTCAAAGAAAAAAAATCTTTCTGTTTAAAAAAAATTTACAAATGATGAAATAAAACACAAGACTCTTGATGAAATTATTTTTGCTACTTAATTTGTTATATCCAAACTATAAAGTGCTATTTTCTAAATCCAAACATAATTCTTTGTAGAAAGGAAAAAAAAAAAAGGTCACTTGGTAGAGTTGAAATATTTTTCTAGCAGTGGCAAAGCTCTATGCTACTTAACCCTTTCCTGTGGGTCCAGGTGCTAGAGGGGAGCTTGGGTGAGGCAGAAGAGTCTTATGCCCCTGGAGGGAGAGACCTTATAAGCCCAGGAGGGGTGCAGCCTCTTCGTTTTCCTTTCAATTACCCAACACCCTGAGGAAAGGAACAAGCAGCTCCAAGGACAGGAACAAGTAAAATGCTACTCTATGAAGCACTCACTGAGCAATCCCATGGTGCCAGGCACTACACTAAGCACTTTATGCTTGTGACATGTTTAAATCCTTACAATGTCCTGGTGAGGAGCATAAGACTATCCCCATTTCATAAATGAGGAAATCAAACAAGACAGCAAAAAACAAACAAACATTCTCTAAGAAACATGCTCAAAAATTGCAAAGTGAGTTGTGGAGTGGGGATTTCAACACAGGTCCTTGTGATTCTAAAACCCACCTTAATTATGATACATGGCTGCCCAGTCCATGATCACAGTCTTGACCACCTTAGAGAGATTATTATACTAATTTTGTAAACAGGGGGAATTAAGGAAGCATAAAATTTGCTTCTGTATAGTGATTAAAATACAGGTTGAGTCACCCTTATTCAAAGCACTTGGGATTAGAAGTGCTTCATATTTCAAAGTTTTTAAGATTTTGGAAAATTTGCATAGACTACTGGTTCAGATTTTGGACTTTTGAATTAGGGATACTCAACCTATATCAATAGCAGCTGCTTTCTATGCACCAGCAACAATGCTATGTGTTAACCCCAAATTCTTAACAGTTACACTACAGCACAGATATTATTCATATTTTACAGGTAAAGATGTTAAGGCTGAAGGAGGCTCAATTTACTTTCTAAGTTATTCATATATGGGCTTTAAATTCAGGTCTGGATGTTTTAACATATCCACTTCTTTTCACTATTAGACTGCTCTTCGATTATTCTTTGTAAAGGGCAGGCAGAAAGGAAGGCAATGCAAACTGAGTACCTACTATGTGCCAGGTACTGGACAAGCTGAATTTGGAAATATGTAAGACAGTAAGCTGTTACAGTTTGAAAGTGAGATATCCCCCAAAAGTCCATGTGTGGGACAATGCAAGAAGGCTTAGAAGTGAAATGGCTGGGCTATGAGAGTCTTAACTCAATTAGTTAATTAATCTCCTGATGGGATTAACTGAGTGGGAGCTGAAGGCTGACAGGGTGTGGCTGGAGAAGGTAGGTCCTTTGGGGTGTACATTTGTATCTGTGAATTGGAGTCTCTCTCTCTGCTTCCTGATTGACATGTAAGTCACCTCCACCACACTCTTCTGCCATGATGTTCTGCCTCTCCTGGAGCTCCAAAGCATGGAGTTGGCCTTCTATGGACTGAGACCTCTGAAACCATGAGCCCTCTTCCTCCCCTAAATTGTTCTTGTCAGGAATTTTAGTCCAATAGCAAAAAGCTAACAAAAACATAAGCTTAAGCAACTTGTACAAAATTCACAAATCTAGTAAACTAGAGTTAAAATATGAATAATCTTATAACATTTCTCCCAATAATGATGTTGATGATGATATTATTACAATAACCATTTACTTGGTGCTTAATATATTGTGCATAATATACTGTTAAAAGGGTCAGGCCACTGACACAATGCTACAAGTACAATCTAGTAAATGGAATTCTGGAGAGTGAAAGAAACTAGGTGACACTGGGATACAAGTCTTTGCCTGTCTAAGATTTCAGAGAATCCACAGCCCCTATTTAAGGACATTATAAATTTTCTACATCAGCATTTTCAATTAGTAGAACATATAGTTTAAAAATTTAGCAAGCTCCCCAAATAATTCTGATGTATATTCAAGTTTTAAAACCACAGATCTATAGGAACATATGGATTGGCTATCTTCCAGTGTGTTCTCCAAAACTATCTCCTGTAGCTGAGATTCTAGTACTAATTAATTTGAGAAGAAATTAAACTTTCCTCTTAGTATTCCTCACTAAGTCAGATTGGTCTTCTCCACCTAACTTCGGTTAGTATGAGAGTCTTAACCCAATCAGTTAATTAACCCCCTGATGGGATTTTTAGTTAGCTTTAGTCCACATCCTGTATGTGGATTTACACACATGAGCACACATACATATATCCCATTGAATAAGAAGACAGACATGGAAGTGAGAGAAGTTTAGTAAGTACTTATGTTGCATGTCCTAGAATATGTATATTTTAAAAATCTAAAGAACATATTTCATGTAACTGTATAAAAGAACTCAAACAGCATATTCACACGTATAATAGATTTTGAATTTATTTTGCCAGTACCTACACTGAAATGTTGCCAATTTTCACTAAATTTTAAAAACCAAATGCTACAAAAATAATAGCCTAACACTTTGTATATCCAAAATAACCTTAAGTATCCTGAGCAGGAATGCAGTTCATCACTAAAAACTCTGCCTAACAGATGATAAAAATCCAATAGGCAGGTTTAATGCTCAGACAATTCCTATGAGCAGAAATGAGGTTACATGAATAAATATAGAAACTGTTGTTTTTTTAGGATAAATTCTAATCCAGAAATGTGCCTATAAAGCAGAACTTTTCCTATCTAAACCTTTTATTGATGCTATTTAAATGCCATATATATTCAGTATAACATTTAGAAATATTCCTTTATACAGCAATTGGGTTAAAAATAAAGTAGTATAAATGGAAAAATCTAATTCAAGGCATTGTATTAAGGCTATTTTTTCCCCTTAATTCCATCAGAATGCAATTAAGTAAATGAAAGGATATGAAAGTGGATAATAGGGAGAGGGACTGAAAAATGCTAGGTATGCTACTGACCATAAGACTGTTTGACAGTCTCTATCAAGGTCACATATGTTGATAAACTCTATGATTCACATATCCACTTGGGTATAAACCAGTAAATGTGTATGTATGTGCATACTCATCAAATGTTAACAGAAGTTTTATTTTTAATAGTCTAAAACGTAAAATAACTCCACAACCATCACCAGTAGATGGATAAATAAATTGGGTATGCTCATACTATGGAATATTATACAACAATGAAAAGGAATTACTATCACATGAAATGGCATGGATGAATTTCACAGGTCAAATGTTCAGTGAAAGCAGCCAGATAGAGAACATATCACATAATTTCAACTTCATGAAGGTTGAAATAAGCAAAACTACTCTCTGGTGATAGAGACTGCAATAGTTATTACCCTTTAGAAAGAGGCTATTGACTAGAAGGGTCATAAAAGATCTTTCTAGGGTGCTGAAAATTTATATCTCAAGCTGAGTTGTGGTCACAAGGTTATATACACTAGTAAAAATTCATTTAGCTGCACACTAAGATTTCTATACTTTGCAGTATGTAAATTATAACTCAGATTTTAGAGTTAAAAAAAATGGTATTATATTCCTCAATCCAGGTTAACTAAACAAGTTGACTCTGACTGACAAACTCACAAACTCTCAAAGTCATAAGCGATTACTTAGTGCCCAAAGGCACAGCCCATACACCTAGTCCTTAAAATTGGTTAGACTTTATATATTTCAAGAAAAATTATATTTCAATAAAAGTTTTAAAATGGTGTTTGTTTTTGAATAGAGTTATGAAAATTCTCTAATTTGAAGACATCTGCACATAAGTCATAATGTAAGATTGTTCCTGTGTAGATTATTTAAAACCCCAGTTCTGCCATATTACTACTGGTCTCATTCTACATTGATTACACCTTGAACCAAGTCATAACATGAATGTGGTAGGAACACAATATTTAAACACTGCTTAAAATGGATCTACTCACATTTATGATGATGTTTAGAGATTCATCATCAGGAAGGAAAATACACACACTCCTGCGGTCTTGCATGACTCTGTTGTTATGGAAATTCAATTTGTTCATTGTGTTGTGAGCTCTCTAGTGGTCAGGGCTGAGCTCTGAGTCCTCAGCAATCGCTCAGGTTCCCAGCGCTCCAAAGCCAAACTCTCCTCCTCATCACACAGCTGACAGGAGAAGCATCATGCTGTTTGACTACGTAGGTTTCATAGCTGTAAAAAAGCCCAAAGGGAGGCCGGTGAATAAGGTATTGAGTTGATGAAGACAGAGACAGGGAGGTGAGCAGAGCACAAATACTATGTGGGTACAGGAACAGCATGTCTCAGGCAGGGGGCCTCGTTCAATACATGAGAAGTCACCAAAATGTCCTCTATATTTTGCCCACTAGCAGTTTTCAAACTTTCATTCACAGTCATCTATTAAATTCAAAGCCAACAAGCACTTCACACATGCAAGGCAGTAATATGCACTATAATGCTCTTGGAAACAGATCTTTCCTTTGAGGATTCCTAGTCTCACAGGAAGATAACTAAGGGATGGGAAATCAAATGACAAAAAATAGCAGCAACAACAAAACCTCTCTTCCATTACTAGCAAAATAAATGTCTTGGCTCTTATATCACATTCACTCTTCAAAGACCATAGACTGGCTTCCACTTCCTTCACCTTACTAGCTCACTCTGCTAAGGAAATCAGACATCTTTAGACCATCAGGAGTAAAGTACAGGGTTCACTTTACCAATTTACCATGGGTTTTAGGCCCTTCTTACAACTTTGTTGGTTCAGTTTTTATGATGCTGCTCTCTCATGATTCTCTAATTTGATAATTCAAACTTAATTTTCTCATTTCAGCAATCAATTAATACATAGAAATAATAAGACTGTATATATTAAACCACTATGTATTTTGGTTGCCTCTCCATCTCTAATCAGTTGAAAAAAGGTTGTTTTTATTTTTTAAAAAAAATTATATGATTTTTATGCATAAAATTTTATTTACAAGTAGTGAAAATTTAGTCTCCAACTTTCAATAATCACCTCTCAATTCTGTTTCATGTCTTATTGCATTGGTAACACGTTATAGAGCAATTTTAAAAGTGGCAAATGTTTCCTACTTTTAATGAGGCTTACATATAATATTGCTAATAGAACATTATTCAAAAAAGATATGTTAAGATTAGTTGTCCTCTATATATGGGATTATTCCTTGCCAACTTTTAAAAATAGGATGCAACAGAGAATTTCTAGGAAGGTGTTTTCAAAGAAACACAAATCAAACATAAATGAGATCAAATCTTGGCCTATTTGCTCTTTAAAGTTAAATGTCTATCTGCTATCAGCAAGAGGGGAGTGAATATATTAGCATAAGAAGTAAATATAATTTAGCATTCTTTTAAGTTATAAATAAAATGGCATCTATTAAAGATTTAGTCAAAAGTAAATAAAAACAAATGGTAATCATATGCTGCATTTCCTCATTAGGAAAGGGACCAAAAGTCTGCTTAGAAATTCTACTCTTCTTTTTTTTTTATTTTTTAATATTTATTTTTAGTTTTCGGTGGACACAACACCTTTATTTTATTTTTATGTGGTTCTGAGGATCAAACCCAGAGCCCCGCACATGCCAGGCGAGCACGCTACCGCTTGAGCCACATCCCCAGCCCAAAATTCTACTCTTCTTAAAGGATTTGTGCAACTGTTCCACATTGGTCAGTGCCATCATATCACCTCACTGGGTCGCTGGAGGTCAGTGCTACGGTTTTCTCCAGAATGGATGGTCAGCCATGTATTCTAGGACCACAATCTAACTGATTCCAAAATCTAATCCCTCATCTAGAAAAATGCATGCTTTTCATACAATAGTTCCAAAGTACCAGTTGACAGGGTACAGTGTTGACTGTATAAGAGTCACCTGGGAGCTTTGTAATAGGTGCAGAATCTCGAGCGCAGTGACATTGCTACTGACATAGAATGTCCCAGGCCAGGTATTTCTTATGTGCAGCCACGTTTGAAAACCACCACTTCAGTTAATGGGAGCTACAGAGCACAGTGTTAGATATATTATCTTAGGGTATACATTGGGAAAATATCTTGGAAACAAAGAAATGGGATTAAGCAACATATGTGAATGATATCACATCATCACTGTAACATTCTTAACATTTCAAAGGTATAAAACCCTAAAGAAGATCAAATTTGTGTACTCAGAACATTTTCCTAAAAAATGGTGATCTAGGGCAAACAAGTTGGTTTACTACTGTATTCTATTTAGCCCTTTCCTAGAAATTCAGAAAATATTAAAGCCTCTGAGAAATCATGCAGGCAACTTCTAATTTACTTCAGTATCTCTTAAACTTACTTGAGTACAGGAATATCCCCAAGGTATACCTATTAAGGACCTGTACAATGATACTCTTAGGCATATCATTTGAGAAATGCAGTTTTAAAATGAGTTCTTTGTCAAATATTATGTTTCATGGAAAAAAATATTCCCTGTACATTGGTATATTTCAATAGTTAGGCCTCTTCTTTACTGTATGAAATGTTTTCAAAAAAACAAAGAAATTATAAGCTATGATTAAATGCCTATTATTTAAGCCAAACTTTTAAGTGATATTAACCCCAGTATAATTCTTCTTATTTAAATCTATACTTCAAATTGAGTTAGTCATATAATTTTCCATTTCTAATTAAACCAATTAAAGCAGGGTATTTCCTACTGACCTACTTTCTAGGATTTAAAAGATAAACTGAGAAAAAAATCTTCTGAAGTTTGGAATATTTCAAGAGCTTCATTAAAATAACTTGAAAGTTTCATTTGGGTACAACTTTTATTTTATGGTTTAAGTATGTAGCGCAGAAGAAGACTGGAAGATTATTGAAGCAAATTTAATAAAAGCAGAGTTTAGAAGAGACAGTGCTACTTTACAGCTGTTTGTTTTTTGTTTGTTTGTTTGTTTGTTTGTTTTTTGCTTTGAAGGTAGAAAAAAGCTCTAAAAGAGAAAGGATTAAGTTTTATTTTACCCAGGACAGCATTAAAACTGATTAAATGGTTCCACTGAAACAGCAAAATCACCATCTCTCCCACATATACCAGTAAAAAATTTAATCTTAAATGGGGCAGTCCCGGGGAAAAAAACTGACTAAATTTATATCAATTTGAATTGTACACAGCAGCCTGTCAGACAATGGCTACTTATACTTCATCCTCAGCTGAGCCCCAACTCAGTGCCAGGAGGACACACTTCCTACTCCAAGGCAAATCTCTCACATCTGACATCTTATGACTGTGTGTTTATGGACAAACCATGTTGTCCTAATGTAATTTCTAGGCAACAAAAAAACAGCCTTAACAGTGATCAAGTCTTACCCTTCCATTTCATTAACAATTAATTTAAAAACAAAATACACTAAATATGAAATTCTCCACCTTGAATGTCCACCCATATAATATAGTCTCCTTTTGAATAGAGGCAAAAGAGGATTTTCAATTCTAGGGTTATCTCCCTAAAAAAGGGGGAAAAGATGATAATTTGATAAGAGATTATTATAAGGTAAGCCTGGTTAAGACATATCGAGTCAATATACCTAACAAAAAACAAAGCAAAAAAATTCGTTTGGAAAATTGGATTGCAGAGACCCCTATTTTCTAATTTAATTGTCACACATGTATAAAATCACTTACATATCTGTGTGATATATTTTATATAATGTTTATTTGCTGAAAAGCAAGACTACAAAAGCAATAGATGTTGCACCACCACTTATGGAATAATCATCTAAGGACACATCACTGCCAAAAAACTTTTTTGTTCTTGATACCTAAGAGTACACTCATGTCTACCTCAAGAGAATTTATAATGGATAACAGTATTAAGTATGTGAATACTGTGCTACATTACTGTGGGTGAGATCATTTTCGAATAAATAGTATACTGTCTCTAATGTATGATAGTCTATCCTAAAAATGATATCCAAATGCCTCAGCTTTTTTTGGTTACTTATTTATTAATACAAAATATGTGCATTAAACACCTGCTGTAAGCTCTAAGCACACAGCACTAAACAAAATAAATACCCTGTTCTCATACAAACAATACATAGTGATAATATATGCTATGAAGAAAAGTAAGTCCAGGATAGGTGAGAGAGATGATGGAGATATGAGAGTGGTATGGATGCTACATCACATAGGGTAATCACGGGAAGCATTTCTGATGGATCAATATCTGAACAGCCACCTGAATTGAGGGGGTTATCATTTCCTTCCTTCTATCCATCCATCCATTCATTTGTGAATTTCAAGAAAGAGTTTTCCAGGCAGTGAGAATGGTAAATGCTAAGGCTCACTTATTGTTCAAAATAGATGAAATAATAGTACTTATGATGGCTAATATTTACTACACATCATATACAAGGTATCTTACAACAGGGAGAGAGGGAGAAAGGGAGGGAGGGAAGAAGGGGGGGGGAGAGAGAGAGAGTGAGTGTGTGTGTGTGTGTGTGTGTGTGTGTTTTAATCCCCAATGCACATATCCTCACTAAATGCTGGTTGTCTGGTTTACTACATATGTCTTTGGCCAATAAAGATTCTACAGTAGGCTTTCTTGACCTTAGTACTACTGTCATTTTGGGTCAAATATTCTTTGTGGTGAGGGGCTGTCCTGTGCACTATGGGATGTTCAGCAGTATCTTTGGCTTATACCCACAAAATGCCAGCAGCCTTTCTCTTACCAGTTTTGACAACCCACAATGTCTGTAGACATTGCCAAAATTTGTCCTAGACGCTAAATTACCCATAGTTGGGAACCAATGCTCTTTAAGTTTCCAGAGTCACCAGAGTCATTACAGGCTTCTTTTAACCACCTAGCTGAGTTTCTTTTTTTTTTTTAAGTAATAATATAGCTCTTCCTAAATACATATTTTCTAACTAAAAATCAATAATTGAATTCTAAAAACTCAAATACGAACCTTAAAAGTCAGCTTCTTATATGTGCATGGCCTCTGACTTTGGAATATCTTTGAAGTTTAGCCTTCTTGAAACTTAATTTTTTTTAGTGTAGTGTGTTACTACACTTCTCACAGAAACATACTTCCATTATTACTAGAAACTTGTTTCTAGAAGGTTCTATATCTTGATACTAAAACATGAAAATATAAAAAGTTACCTGGAAAAAACTGATACCTCATTTTCAATTTGCCTGTATGCTCT